TTTGACTTGACATTCACATATTATGACATTAAGTAAGCTATCTCACTGGCAAGAGGAATGATCTAGGAACTAGCTAGACATATTTGACTCTGTCCAAGTATAAGAAATTTCCAGAAGCCATGGACTTAGCACAAGTAAACCAATGTTCCTCCATGGAATGGGAAGTCCTCCATCTGTAAAATCATGAACATTTGTGATTTGTCGCCTGAAACTTCATAATGCTAACATCATGTTTTTAATACCTGGGAGGATTTTCCCCCTGGATTAAGGGATACATTTATTTATTTAAGAAAATAATACTCAAGGCTATATAGAAATATTAATAAATATATGAATAAAGAACACATTAAAATGGAGACCTATGCAACAGATAAAACATCGTATGCAGATTGTGTTCAAAGCTTTTTTATCATGCCTCTAATAACTTTAATATGCTGAAGCCATGTTTGAACAAAATGTCTTTAAATGCAATACTCTTTTAAGGGGATAAAAGGAATCTTTAGAGGCATGATATGCCATAATCTAGATATTGCCACAAAAAGATACAACTCTATGAACCACTGGGCAAGTACTCTGTCAGAAGCTGAAATGCCTCCCTTACAGCTTTTAAGGCAGAGATGAGGAACTTGTGGCCTTCCAGAAGTCCCAGTCAGTGCAACCAACAGGTTCCTCATAAGTGTTTGAAAAAGCAAACAGCTCTGATTGTTCTGTTATTCTGAAAGCAAATCATTATAGGCTTTAAATGGGTCCTTTAAACTTTTCGAGAAACGAGGAAGCCACTGTCATTCTTGCAAATCAATGTCACCCTATTCCAAAACCACCAATCAAGACCTTCTCTTGCATTTTGGACTACCTGAGGTTTCTGTTCAAGGGCAGCCTCATGTAGAATGAATCCATTCTGGATATAACTTGCATGTGTTATTCTGGCTTTCCTGTGTTCAAGCACATTTGACATATCACCCATGCTCAAGAAAGGCAGTCTTGAGTCCCAAGCAAATCCAATTTCACGACTCCCCCCACAATACTGATTTTTCTATGTAGTGCTCATCATGCAAAACAGCATGAACCCGATTTCTAAATCATTTGATTCTTAATTAATAACATCTGTTTTAGCTCAAATTTCAGTTTGTTCTCCCTCATTCATATTAATATTTTCAAATATGTGACATTAACATTTTGTAATATTAAATACTGCTCTTCCCTGTACACATAAATGTTAACTGAGTAACTTTCCAGATTTTTTTCTGGGCACTATTTTAGAAAGTCAAGAGAAGAGAGAGAAGATGCACAGAAAGTTAGATTGGTTTTAAAAGCAATTTTTAAAAATAACTCATACATTCTAAAATGCAAATAGCATATACTCTAGAGTTAGCTTCCATATTTTATAAGTTTTTATTTCTTGCATTTGTATTAAAAAGGACAAAAATAGATTTTACATTCAAAATATATTATATCTTCATTGCAACAAAATAGCAAGAATTCCGAATTTTAATATTATCAATTAACTTCTCCCTAAACATTCTTGGCTGTCAAGTATAAAATATACATTTACTACTTTGATGAAAAATAATTAAAAGATACAAAACACAAGCTCCCACTTGATTAAATATAGTGGAACTGTACCAACTGGCAGAGGTAATTTGGCACAAACATAAACAATGGCAACTCATGAAAAACATAAACCATGTTTCTAAAACATCAACAAAAACTGTGGCAGCTAAGAAGTCTTAGTTGTTCAGTTTCCCCCCCATAATTACTGCATTTAAGGCTTTAACGACAATATAGCAAAAGCTATGTAGCAAATTGCTTTAGAGTACTAGTTGTATATTATTTGAATTTTGATACTGAAAAACTTTCTCTGAAACCTATTTATAAGCCTATCTTGGCAATTTGTAAAGGAACTGTTTGAAAATGTAAGTTCAGAGTTTAAGTAGCATATTTTGTCCACATTTATAACCAATGGGTGTGAAAAGGTAGATTGGTCAAGCACTTAAGCAAATATTTAGAAATATAATAGTAAGTGATAATGAATGTAACTGAAATAGAATCCATATTTTTAGTGGCCCACTTCACACAAAATGTGAAGCCATAATAATACAGGTTGTCTCAAAGGTGCTTTTTCAACAGGCAACTGGACTTTTGTTTTTCTTTGAAGACATTTCGCTTCTAATCCAAGAAGCTTCTTCATAATACAGATTGTTTTTGGCATAGTATGACATAAACTCACTCAAAAAAGTTAAATATAATCCAAAACACCATAGCTAGTTCAACCCAGCTTATTAAGAATGTGCTTATGTGTGAATCAGGTTATAAGAGTACGCACAAAATTATAATGTGGTGTTCCTAAGTTTGCTCCATAGGCATAACAATGGTTTTTTCAAACCTCAGTTAAACCATAGTTTAGTATTATGAATAAGTGGGATCACATAATTTTCTAAGCCATCTTTTTTATGGTTTGATGTATAAACTATAATTTGCTAGGCTCACATGCAATAAACCAAAACCAAACAGATTGTGTTTTAACATGTTGTACATTGTTAGACTAGATCACACATAAAGTTTATTGGTGGTTTATTAAGTCATTATTTACTGAACTAATCACAACTGGCTGGATTCATCTATTGTATGCTAAATTTTAATGCAGTCTATTTGATTTTTGCTTAGCATCCTATACAAATATATGAACTGTGATTTGTAAATTTATACTTTCCTAAGTAAACCCAGGCAGATATGGATTATTCAAATCATACTTAACAAGTGATAGTTTAGCATGTTAATTTAGTACAGTAATTGATCAATTTTCATGACACAGTGGTTGAACATTATCTGTGTTTAAAGCAAGTCAGTTGTCATATGCCTACAAATTCACCCAAACCATAGGTAGAAATTGTTTGTCACCCCCTCTCCTTTTTACTTGATATCTTAACAATTTTCTGGTGGCAGGCTCACCCCTGCCCCCCCCTGCAAATAACTACAAAATCAGAAGTTATATTTGTGGTGATGGAATAAAGTTTTTGCTACCTAAAAAGTACCCTATTGGCCTGAAAGGAGTAAAAAACACAAAATAGCTGCAGCTATGTTCCTACATTCAATTTTCTAGCGATGCGATAGCTCTTTAATTATAATCTAACCTATAGTCCCAATACTAGTCCATACCAAGTCATATCTGCCTCAGTTTAACCAGTGAAAAATTATGCTACTAATTGTGGTTAATTACACCTTTCAGCTAGCTCAGTTTCCACTGTTTGTGGAAATGGACATTTGAAACCAAAGTATACAGTAATTTCAAAATCTGGTTTCTACAAATTGAAAATAGCTCTAAATTGGCAAAACACATATGGCTTCAGCTAAGCCTCTGTCCCTGCTTAATGAGGTATGTACACATGATGGGATAACCCTTTCTAGTGAGTTACTAATCAATGCAAACATGACTTTTCTAAAAAAAGAATGTTCTAAATAGAGTTCCACTGTACTTCCAAATCAACAAAGCTTGGGAAACATTCAATAGTTATTGTTAAAAGCCAGTTTTCAACTATCCTGAGACAAGGAACAGAGTGGCAGAAAGGACCTCATCTATGCTTTCAAAGATCCCCAAACACTTATTAAACTTTCCATTTTAATATAGCTTTTGAAAACTATTTCCAAGATTACTAACATTTATCTCAGAGATGCCCACTTAATATGTCTATCATTTAAAACATTGACATGCTCTTGGTAAGGATGAAAATGGTGATTTTTGGACTTTGCAAAACCTTCACAAAATGACCTCTGGCATATTGTAGTGTTTATTACTATGAACTTTGAGGCATGCAAGTGTTCAGATAAACTATCAGAGTTTAAACCAAATTGGACTACTAACTTAAGTATACACAAGAGGTTAGGCTGGAGAATTTGAATCTGTACATATCGCCAATGTATAAACAGGTACGAAACAAGCAAAAAACAAATTGCAGAAAAATCAGGGCCAATGACCATGGTTAATGTACAAAACTAAAATACCTTAAAAGCAAGAAATGTGTTTTTATTCCACATAAAGCCATGAGACTTAAGGGTAGGAATAATATAAAGGGGCGATAACATTCCATTTGAAATGAAGCAATTTGGAAAAAAAATAACAAATGACTTGTTTTTAATTGTGTAGTATTGCTGTTTTTCTTCAGCCAAATCAGCACAAAATAGACATGTAGTGTGTTTGCAGGGACAAGGCCGGAATCATAAGTAGAGATTTTATAAAGGGAGATGGGAGAAGACCAGGTTAATAGAGGATAACCTCACCTGGCAGTTCTTTCTTGTTTTACTGAGCTCAAAAACACCTTTTTACATGATCAAAATAAATGAATTTATACTATCTGGAAATATCTTTAGAAGTAAGCAGTGTAAACATCTGATTTCCCTTTTTAAGGAAGACACCAAAGAAAACATGTTTTTGCTTTGCAACTGCCCATCCAGCCTTTCAGAAACCACGGGAGAAGATCCATCGGCTGGAGCTCTCCTTTGCTTTTACTTTGGAGATGGCGCGGGGGTGGGGGAAATGAAATAGACGATGCCTTTACAACCGGAAAAACAAAAAAGCTACACATAATCATCCAGCCCTGCGAATGATAACCTCCTCTCTTTTTCCCCGCTCCCCAAAGCCCCCACCCCTTCTACTGGAGAGGGAAAATCTATTCTAGAAGCCTGTAGAGATATGCGAAGGAAGAGATGGGGGTGGGGAAAGAATCTCCCAGCGCCCCCCGCTACAACGATTAGAAGATTGTGTATCATTTTATAAAGCTACATTGTATTCTGTAGACGTGCTCTGCAGACGCAGGAATAGAAGGCTGTTTGGGGGGGCAGAACTGAATTGGGGGAGCAGTGGAAAGAGATCAGTGCTACTACCCAAGGAGGGGGGACACGGTTCCCCTTCCCCCCAGTTTTTTTTCGCCCTGTCACAGCCCTGAGTTGCAGGTAGAGAGAGTTAAGAGATTTAAAGAGAAATTGCTACATTGTAACAAACTCACCGTGATGTTTGAGCAGCAGTCAGCGCGGGGTCTCCGAGACATCCCCGCACGGGCTCCGGAGGCAGGACCCTAGCAGGCACAGACTCATAGAGGGTCAGCTCAATGCCTGATTGCAACCGACGAAGGTTTCCTCTGAAACATTAAAAAAAAAAAAAAGAGGAAGAAAAAGCCGAAGCGGGCGAAAAAAGGCAAAGGAAAAAAAAAAAAAAAAACCAAAACCCAACGGGCAGTTTTATTTGTACATTTTCAGCGAAACCATTTTTTATATATCTAAAAAAATTAACCACCTCCCTCCTCCCACTCGCCTTAATTTGCATTGGTGCTGCCCCACCCCTCTGGCTCTTTCAAAATACTGTCGCCGCACGCGCGCACGCTCAAAAGGGAGCATTGTAGCGAGACGTCCGTCGGCCGGGCTCGTCAAGGAAGGGTGCATTAAAGGAGCAGGCGCCGCCGGCGGAGCTTCTGCCCCCCACCCACCCAGGGCGGACGCCTTCGGTTGTGCCCCTCGGCCCCTTCCCGGCGGGACGGGCTTGGCGCGACCTGCGGACGGCGTTTCCCGAAAGCTCTTTGGGTGGGGGGAGGGGAGGGGAAATACTGATGGGCTTAGAAGAAAAATAAATAAAAGGACCTTCAAGGGGTGAAAATAGGATCTGGTGGGGGGGGGGGGAGCTCAGATCGGAATCGTTTTAACCCCGGCAACCCTGGGCGTGCTTTATTTAATATTAAGAGATTAGATTTTGGACTTTTGCAGGATCTACTTAGAAATTAATTCACTTGGGATCACATGGAATCATGTGCTGGACCACGGGGGGGGGGGGGGGCGGAGGACTAAGGCGAGCCTGTGTGGTGCCTTGTGTTATAAATCTCACACTGGGAAAAATCGGAAAGCTCCCAGTTTGACGCTAAAAGGGAGACATCCGAGCAGTTTTCCTGGCAGTGCTATAAAAATGGGTTTTAGTTGAATCTCCAGCCCTGGGATTTCCTAGTGGTCTCCTTTCCAACCACTAAGCAGGCCCAAACATAACTTTGAACCTTTATTCTACTAAACATTTCAGAGGGTTTTTTTTGTTTTTTTTTTGGAAGTGTGTGCTGGATTTATTTGCTGCTGATTTTAAACAGACAGAAGCAGTTTCATCTGGACTTTATAACCCAGATTGGGCCAAATAAAGTTAACTAAGCCTCCGTCACACCACCCCAACTGAAGACATTGATGTCATTAAGCATGGTTTACTGGAAATGTTCACACACAACACACAATGACTGGATTCATATAATGCATTAAACCAAACAAATTATATTTTGGTTTAGCATGATGCATGAATCCGCCTGCCTGGTGTTTGGCTTAACATATACATGGAGATGCATAACCCTTTTAAACCTATTGTCTGTTGCTTGATTACATATTATTTTTATCCAAATACAGTATTGGTTCTAATAACGTTTTGTGCCTGGTAAAGTGTAAACCAGTGCATTTTTTCAGAGGACAAACTACTACGGTGTAAAACAAGGTGCACTGAAATGTACATGTAGGGCAGCAGGTATATAGCACCTAATCCTAAACAGGTTGACCAGGAAATAAATCTGAATCAATAAAATAAATCTAATTCAATGAAATGTTATTAGTTTAGGAAAATTGTTCAAGTAGTCCAAGGACATGAGTCTGGCTATTTAGAACAACCCAATTGTGTTTATCAACGTAATTGTAGTTTATTGCTTAACAATATAAATTAGTACTACAGGCTCAAAGCTTAACCTTTCTAACCTATTATAAATGTGTGACTAGGTCACTGCTACCTTTTATTGAAAGAAACACAAACATAAAGTTGATTTTATAGTCGTATGGATTCATTACATCTGGCAATGCTGTTAACAGGCCAGTTTCTGCACAAATCCACTTTAAAGGAAACACTTTCTAGTTTTTATAACTTAGTACTCAAACAAAATAAAATGTAGTCTTTCGCTTTTGTAACCAACAAATTAAGCAAAAGTAATGAAGACAGCATTCATTGCTGCTCTGAAAACTACTGTAAACAAAACTGAAATCATCAAAGTAAAATATGACTTTTGGAGTACTCTCTGCGGATGTTCTTAACTCCGGATGAACAGTCAAATCAAGCATCGTCTTAAAACAAGCACTGTTATCAGGCAGCTGAAAGCACAACTCAGGAAAGGGTCCTTGGCGTACTAATTAAAAACTGGTTTCACCGGAGAGAGCGCTCTCCTGATTGGCCGAAAGTGAAGTGGATCAGAAAGTAATGGGATGGGCTAAAAGCAGTACTCGTCACCCTGATTAGACAGGTTAAATGTGATTGACTATCGCTGGTAATTAAAAGAGGGTGGAACTTCGTAATGTTTATACTCTGTAATTGGCTGGATTTGAACTGCCTTTAAATTCTGTACTGTATATACACAGAGGGAGGGGGAGGCTTCATGTATAAAAAGCCAAAGCTAGGAGTAGAGTGTGGTGACAGACTTCTGTTTGGTGAAGTAGACTGGTGTGTATCAGTCGCTTTCACTCTCTCCTCCCCCCACCTCCAGTGTTCCCTAGGAAATAGTTTTACCTAGCATTTTTCACATGGTGGTGAATTAAAAATGGAAGACTGTAGAAGGAACAGATTGTAGAAGATGCTATTAAGTTACAACCTAATTTTAAAGATTGTGACATGAAGAATGGTACTCTAGAAAAATCAGTACTGTAATTCAAAATGAAAATTATTGAATCTTTACTTGCAAGACTACAAGTCTCAAACTTATTTTCTGGATTACATTTGCTTCATTAATTATGCCCTTGTTTATATATTGCAATTGTTTTTTTCCCCATCTAGTCCAGGGGTGTCAAACTGGTGGCCCTTGGGCCAGATGCATCACGCCCAGGCCACGCCACCCCAGCTCCACAAAGGCAAAACATGTTGCGATATATCATATGTCATGTAACATGATCAAGTTTGACACCCGTGATTTAGTCTATGTATAGAGAAGTTATGAGCTTTCAAGCTACTGAAATTGGGATTTAGGAAATTGGGACTTTGCCATGGGACTGCGCAAGGATGTTGATTGTAAACACAGCAATGCATTTTCCAATTTGAAAATTATTTTAAAAATTAAGTGGGTATTATGAACAGCAGAGGGCTGTGGCAGTTATGAAAAGGACCCCAAATCAGTATCAATTGGAATAACACTAACATCATTTTTTTGAGTTTAGAACTACCACACAGCCATTCTTCTCAGTTGTTTTAAGCCAGTCCTAATACAGCTTGTCCTGAGTTTTGATCAATTGACACACTGGCAGACATAAGTAGTTGATAACATTTTTTCACTGCATAATCACAAATAGTATTTTTGTCTGTTAATAGGAGTGTGTTCACACTTTTCTTTACTTACGTATGTTGTGGATCTGCAAATCTTTCTTTCAGAAGACTCTCCTTGGTTCAGATTCAGGCTTTCCTCCCAAACAGGCGGGTCGGTCAATTCCTGTTGCAACCAATGGATCAACACTTGATCTGAAAAAAAGATCCTGAACTTTCAGGAAACTACTAGGAAAAAAACCTTTTGGGAGGTCTGTCATGGTTTTGGTCACTAAGCGACTGACTGCAAGCTGAGGACTACCTATAGTTGCATAATTGTCTCTGCTATCTTGACTTATTCAACCCCTTGTTGTGGATAGTTTTTATTGACATGGCTTGTTTTAATTGGTGTGTTTAATTATTCTGTTGATGTGTATTTTCAGAGCTTCCCAACTTTTTAGTGCAAATCAAATAAATAGAAATTACACCAGTTGCAAAGGAAGCCACAAGCAATACTTTATAAGGACCAATCAAACATGGACAAAAATGTGGATAAGATTTTTGTTGGTTGTTAACTATGAAAAAGTCAAATGTCACTTTTTTCAATATCCGTTGTAACTTTGAATGGTCCCTAAATGAACTGTTGTAAATCAAGGACTACCTGTACCGTGTTTGTTACCCTGAGTTTATTCAAAAAAAGGTAATAAAGGCAGGATATAAATAAATAAGACACAATCCCTAAAATTAAGCCAGCATGACCGCAAAATAGGGACGCTTTCAGCTAGAGCTACAAAACCCTCATTTATTTAAAATATGGCATATAGAGAACATGGATAACTAATAAAATTATACAGGAGCACATACTACTACTGTACACGCATGATGGAAATACATAGTCAATTTTGTAAAGTTTGAGGAATGTAAGAAATTATATATAAGGCATAGCTTAGTTTTAAAATAAGCTGTTGATTCATAATAGAATAAAACTCCCCTCAATGGGGCTTGGTTGGTGTATGAGGAGGGAATGGAAAAGGGTTCGTACCACAAAGGAAACCCAAACCCAAAAAGCCCCGTTCCCACGTGTGCTGGACCATCATCCCTAATCCTATTTGGGCTGGTTGCGGAGTACCAGTGGTGAAATTCAAATTTTTTTTTACTACCGGTTCTGTGGCCGTGGCTTGGTGGGCCTTGTAAGGGAAGGATACTGCAAAATCTCCATTTCCACCCCACTCCAGGGGAAGGATACTGCCAAATCCCCATTCCCTCCCCACTCCAAGGGGAAGGATACTGCAAAATCTCCATTCCCACCCCACTCCTAGGGGAAGGATACTGCCAAATCCCCATTCCCTCCCCACTCCTAGGGGAAGGATACTGCCAAATCCCCATTCCCTCTCCACTCCTAGGATACTGCCAAATCCCCATTCCCTCCCCACTCCTAGGGGAAGGATACTGCCAAATCCCCATTCCCACCCCATTCTGAGACCATCCAGAGGTGGTATTTGCCGGTTCTCCGAACTACTCAAAATTTCCGCTACCGGTTCTCCAGAAGCTGCTGGATTTCACCCCTGCGGAGTACCCTATATAGAACTATATAAAAAGTGACTCTCAGACGCCTCGATTTTAACTCATTCGGCAACCTCGCCTTCTAGGACTGACGGCCTCAGGAATTAACGTTGCGCACACCGAACCGCCGTGTCTTTTTTTTTTTTCCTTTTTTTTTTTTTTTTTTTAAATCCCCGCCGGTATTTCCCTCATGAAAACCCCTCCCACCCCCGTTGCGTCCTCTCCCTCACAGGCAGGCTTTCCCCTCGCTTCGCTTTCGCGCCTTTCCTTCCCTCCTCCCAAAATGGCGGCGCCTCTTCTTTTTTTTTCCCGCCCAAAAGAGTTGAAGGAGGAGAGAAAAAAAAAAATAAAGACAAAAAAAAAAAGAGTCACCAACGAGCTCCGCCCCTTTCGGCCCACCCTCCTCCTTTCTCCCCCCCCCGCCCGGCGCGTGGGCGGAGGAGCGGGGTGGGGGGGGAGAGAAGGCGGAGCCTGCGCGCTGTCGCTCTCTTTGCCCACAGCCAGCCCGAAGAGAAGAACGACGACGTCGAGGGTGGGGGGGGGGGGGGGGAAAGAAAAAAAAAAAAAGAGGGAGGGGCCGGCGCGAGGCGACGGGTAAAGCCAGTCGCTGGGGGTTTGGCTCGCTCGCCCCGCCCCGCGCGCTCGCCTTTCGCCCCCTCCTCAAGAAAGGGGGCGGTCCCACTTTGGATCTCTCCCTCCGTTTCTTTTGGGAGGAGACGCCAAGCTTCGCCCCGCCCCCTTCAGGTGCAGATGCAACGGCCCCGCCCCTCAAACAGCTCCCTTTCCCTCCCCCCTCCCTGCGTCTCTTCAAGGGGAAAACACCCCCCCCCCACTTTCCAAGGGGGGGAACAGCCCCCCCCGGCCCCCCCCCCCCCCCGGCTGTGCGTGCAACAACGTCCCCATTTCCCAGCAGAAAAGAGGCAGGGGGCTTTGTACTCCTTCCAAGCCAGCCCCCCCCACTTTTATTATTTTTTTTTCCCCCTGTCAGGGGGTCCCTCTCGAGGAGCAAACAAAAGAGGGCTCCCTCTGGGCCTGTGGTAAGAGGCCTCCCCACCACCACGCGCCCCCCCCTCCCCAAGAAGGAGGTGGGGGGGGGTTTCTGCTGGGCTGGGTGCAAAAAAGGCTGTTTCAAGGCTCCCCCCCCCAGGAGGAGGAGGAGGGGGGCCTGCAGCCATTGCACAGCCTGGGCTTTGCTGGGGGGGGGTCCCTGCAATTCAGAGAAAGGGGTGCTTTGAGCCTCTGAGTGGGGGGGGGAGTGGGATGTGCCCCCCACCCACTCACATCCCAAGCCTGTTGGCCTTGTGAGGTTGCCAAGCTGGGGAAGGTGTGAAAAATGTGTTTTGAGTTGGCCTGGAAGGGAAGGAAAACCAGGCCCATTTTGGAGATCCCTTTTATGGAAAAAAAATATATAACTTTTTAAAGTTAGAACCCAAACTTGAAAATGGGGGTTCCTGAAAAGCTTAGCAGGACACTGATAATCAGCATTCCCTGGTTGGTTCGAAAGTTGCCTGAATGAAACAGGAGCAAGATGTGGGAAGGGGAGAAAGAAAAAAAAAAAGGAATATTTTATGGCCCAAGAAATAGAATGTGGATGAAATGGAAGATCTTTTCTGTTGGTGGTTGCAGGTCTTCCTTCTAAACCACTCTGGAGAAATTCAAATTCTGTTGCCCCATCTTTTAAAACCACTTTTTTGCCACCCCTTTATAATCAAGTTTTTTTTTATAAATCAAATTCTGCATGTATTTTTTTTCTTTTAATCAGATTTTTTTATTTGGGTCACAGAATGGCACAATTTCCTTTAAACACTGACTTTATTTTTACCAGAGTTCAGACCATCAGTACTTAAAAAACAAAACAAAAAACTATTGTGAAAAATCAATATGATGCAAGTGAATATCGACAGATAATTGAAAGGCTTTGGTTGATTAATCTTCCTGCTGTTAAAGTGATCTTTTTAAACAAACTTGCACATCAGCAATTGCATGTTTTTGCACAGGCATATTGGCTGAATAATGGCATTGTTAGCACACCAACACCACAATGCAAAAAAAGTTTATTTGCATTAACATTACTTGAAAATAGTGCTTTGACTATTATTTTGTCAGCCATGTAATTACATAAAGTTAAAAAAATCCCCTAAAAGTCTGATTGCTATAAAGTTTTTTCTGTGTTTATTTTGACTATCTAATGAATTCCTCATCCTCACCCCCCTTGTTCAAAACTACCCCATTCCAGTTTTCCTAGCAGTAAATGATTGTATAACAATTAAATGACAAGATAAGTGTGTTTTATAGATGATGTGTCTTATGAACATAAGTTCTGTTTTTAAAAAAAGTATGCATATTCTTCAAATAGCAAATTTGATTAGAACTTCAGATTAAATATTGAATTTACTTCTGAGTGAATGCAAGTTAAAATTCCTTTTACTTTTTTTAATTTGAAGGAGACTCCTTTTCCAGGATTTTCCCAAAAGGTATGTTATGGCCTAAAATACAGATAACTGAAATTTTGCTACTTGTTTTCACTATTGATATAAGACAAAAATAAGTGCTGATGATTTTAGCTTTTTTGCTAGTGAATGGCACATCTTAAGCAAATGTTTAATTACGGGATTTATAGAAGGAAAGTACTGACTCAGCAAACATGAATCTTCATGTGTAATTTTGCAATATAAATTATTTGCTCTGTTACTAAATTAAAAGTACTGTTTTAGAGACGAAACAATCGCACGTATGCTTTAAAAAGCAATACTTTTTAATACTGCCTTTGTTAAAAGTACCCAGAGTGTTGCACAAAAAGCAATAAAAGAATAGCATCATCATTAAAAATAAGATAGTATGCCAAAATGTATACTCTTCATAAAACCAACAACAAACACGTAAAGCTGCAACAAAAAAAGCTACAATAAAAGGGACAAAGCTGTTTGGCTTAAGAAACAGTGGATCAAATAAGTTTGCAGAAGTTTTAGATTTTCCTAAGCAGAAACAGTTTTTCAATAGCTCTGCTTCATAGAATTTCATGATCAATTATTGAATTCCTTAGATATTGCTGACCGAAGAATTGGCCCCATTGCCTCTTTGTGTGTGTGTGTGTGTGTTTAGGGAACAACTACTTCAAATACCGAAGTGATTAAATATGGACCAGTATCATCTGAGTGACGACAGTTCACTCCATTCTGAAATTCAGCTCCCTGAATTTTCTGGGAATCAGGTGTTGGACTGTAGTGATACATTCAGCCATGATCTTTGTCCAGATATGAGGGACATGATTTATGCTGGACTGAACAATCTGGATGTGGATCCCAGCCTTTCAACTACAAATATAAACAGTGATTCGTTGGAAGACAACCTGGACACCTTGTCTCTGTATTCGGTAAAAGACTGTGATTCCGCTAAACTCCTCGATGATTGTGACCCAGACTCACAACCGCTTTTGCATGGTGAGTAGCCCAGTGCAGAGCTAACGTGGCAATACGTATAAGGGGAATTGTCTTATTTCAGCTGTGGATTCGAGTTTTTTTACCTTATTAAGCTTCATATTTTTTCAGCTAAGATGGTGTTTTTTAAGTTGGATGTTTTCCCAGAATGGTTGGGGTTTCAACTGTCAAGAATTCTCAGCCAATGTAAAGAAACAGCTGTGCCAGGAGATTGTTTGCTGATGGTATATTTTGTATATATATATATATATATAAGGCTAGAGGTAAAAAAGAGAGGTAATTGTATATTTTGTCCATATAGGTAGTCCTTAGCTTACAACAATTCATTTAGTGACCATTGAAAGTTACATCACTGAAAAAAAGTGACTTACGACCGTTTTTCACACTCACGACTTTTGCACATCCCTGCGGTCAGATGATCAAAATTCAGATGCTTGGCAACTGATTCATATTTATGACGGTTGCAGTGTCCCAGGGTCACGTGATCCCCTTTTGCGACCTTCTCACAAGCTATAAATCAGTGGGGAAGCCAGATTCACTTAACAACCGAACGACTAATTTATCTTACGGCCGTTTTTCACACTTGACAACCATTGCAGCATCTCCACAGTCAGGTGATCAAAATTCAGGCACTTGGCAACTGGCTTGTACTTATGACAGTTGCACTGTCTTGGGGTCATGTGATCACCTTTGATGACCTTCCCAGCTGGATTCCGACAAGCAAAGTCAATGGGGGGGTGGGGAGCCGTACTCCCTTAACAACCACATGATTCACTTAACAGTGGCAGAAAAGGTCGTAAAAACGGGATGCAACTCATTTGCCTCGCTCAGCAATGGGAATTTGGAGTTCAGTTGTGCTCGTAAATCCAGGGCTACCTGAGTTATGACCACAATTGAGCCCAAAATTTCTGTTGCTAAGCGAAAACATTTGTTCTGTCAATCCTGAAGCTGACCTGACCGAAGCCATTTTGACTGCTTCGGTGTTGTGGAGCTGAGGGATAGAGAGGATAGATTCTGTAGCCAAAACAACATGTTTTCTCTTGGGAACCAAGGGCATTCTCACACCTGGTTGGAGGAAGGCAGAGCGATGCTACCCGGTTGCCAGACCGCACTGTGATTGGACCATGTGACTGATTGTTTTGAGAAAGTGGGAAAACCTTTAACTTTTAATTAGGTAAAAACTCTGGGACTTTCCAGAGTCGGTTTTCACCAGATCTGTGCCAATATGATATTTCCAATAAAGCTGTTCTTTGAGGAATCTACCGGCCTCAGAGTTTTGCTTGATATGGATTTATTACTTGGAACCCTGACCTTTTTTTTTTTTGCCAGAGTTGTTAAGTGAATCAGGGTAGTTGTTAAATGAGTCAAAGTGTTGTTAAGTGAATCTGACTCCCCCATTGACTTTGCTTGTTAGAAGGTCGCAAAAAGGGGATTGCATGACCCTGGGACACTGCAACTGTCATAAATACGAGTCAGTTGCCAAGCGCCTGAATTTTGATCCCGTGACCACGGGGATGCCGCAGCGGTCGTAAACTGCGCGAAATTTGGTCATAAGTCACTTTTTTCCAGCGCCGTCGTAACTTCGAACAGTTGCTAAACAAACTGTCGTAAGTGGAGGACTACCTGTACTGTGTGCCTTGCAGGAGAGTCTGTGCCGGTGGAACTAAAAGTTGGCCTTCCTTGTTTAGAACTGGGGCTTCATGCCCCTTCAGCGCCAAAAGAAGTGGAGCCAGGAGGCAGATCCGGTTCCGGCAGCGGAAAAAAAGGAAGACCTCAGCAAAACGCCCTTCAAGCTCCTTTCCTGGATTGCAGCCTGTGCGGGAAGGTGTTCAGCAGCACCAGCTCCCTCAGCAAGCACTACGTGACTCATAGCCAGGAACGGAAGCACATCTGTAAGATCTGCAGCAAAGCTTTCAAGCGACAGGACCACTTGTAGGTATCTTCCTGGACACAAAAAGCGACTTACGTGCTCCATACCGTAGTGGCCCAAATTGTGGAAACCTTTTGGGAAAAGTGTATTTTCTAAAACTAGCTAGTAACACCACTTTTTTGGGGGGTCCTCATTTTTCCGATCTTGGAAGGATGAAAGGCTGAATTGAACCCTGTCGGGATCGAACTCCAGGCTCAGTCAGCCTGCAATACTGCATCTTAACCACTGCGCCACCAGGGCAAGATGATGGATGAAGCCCAGAGAGTGATGTAAAGCACTATGGGGTTATATATAAGTCTAAATGCTAAATGCTATTGCTATCTCGTAAGGGTTATACAGTAGTGGTCAAAATTGTGGAAACCTTTTGGGAAAAGTGGATTTTCCAAAACTAGCTAAAAACACCCCTTTTTTTGGGAGTAGTACCATAAAAGTATATCTCAATGGAAAGATAATTTAATCGAGAATGTAATGCAATAACTTTTATGAAGGATTTACTATTAGAATAGCAGTTACAGTATAAAGGAGAAAAGTGAAACAGGTAAAAAAAACGAGATATACAAAAATGATCACCATGTCAGTTAATCCTTAGTTGGGTAACCTTCAGCATGAATGACGGCCTTACAACGTCTTCCCATGGAGTGAACCCAGTCTTTGAGTTCTGCAGCTGTAATAATATGAAATCCAAGATTGAAGGATGGCTTCTATTAACTGGGTTTTATTGCTGGGTTTCTTCTGACTAACAAGTTTCTTTAGTTGGCTCCAGAGGTGGGTTTCAGCAGGTTCTGACCAGTTCTGGAGAACCGGTAGCGGAAATTTTGAGTAATTCAGAGAACCGGTAAATACCACCTCTGACTGGCCCCACCCCCATCTATTCTCTGCCTCCCGAGTCCCAGCTGATCGGGAGGAAATGGGGATTTTGCAATAACCTTCCCCTGGAGTGGGGAGGGAATGGAGATTTTACAGTATCCTTCCCCTGCCACGCCCACCAAGCCACACCACGCCCACCAAGCCACCCTCACCGAACCAGTAGTAAAAATTTTTGAATTCCACCACTGGTCAGTTTCATAGATTTTCAGCTGGGCCTTAAGGTTTCCCAGGCCATTCCAGCAGTGGAATATGATTATCTTGATACTCCAAAAAAAAAAAGTGGTGTTATTAGCCATCAAAAATACACTTTTCCCAAAAGGTTTCCACAATTTTGGCCACTACTGTAAGCAATAAGCATCCCTGGTGGAATCCGCTCCGTGCCAGGCAGGGGCTCGTGGGGGGGGCCCTGCGGAGTCAGATGTGCTGTCGTTTTTTTTTTTCTGTCCCAGGGGGGAAAAAAAGGCAAAGCTGCCAGTTTAGCTCTGCTGAACGGAGCTGCTAGTGCTTTACAGCGTGCCAAGTTTTCACGTACCGTTCTAGTTTAGCCTGGATATTGGGGATGAAGTGGCAACTGAAGAAAAGTAGAAAGGTTTTCTAATGCCTGAAAAAAAAACGAGTCCTCTAACTCGGGCGGGCAATTAATTTTCCCAGAGAAACTGAGACTTGTAGAGGGCTGAAACAAGAGGGCTGGGAAAGTGTGCAAGCATGCCCCCATTCTCATATATACATTGGGGGAAAAAAAAAACAGGCTCTCTTCAAAATAAAAGCAACCTTTGCAGATTGGATGGGGATAGTTAAAGGGCCAGGGGACCATAAAACACACTTCTTTGGAAGCAGTTGAGCGATGGGTTGTGGCAACAGGGAATTAGCCATAAATAAGCTTAATTGCTAGCAAATTGTTAATGCTACTTTCCTTTAGAGCAAGGGTGGGGAACGATGGCTCCTTTTATGACTTATGGACTTCAACTCCCAGAATTCCTGAGCCAGTATGGAATTCTTGAGCATGGCTGGCTCAGGAATTCTGGGGGTTGAAGTCCACTAGTCATAAAGGGGCCATCCTTCCCCACTTCTCCTTTAGAACATACCCACCCCTTGCCCTCTTTCTACAGCTCTCCCATTATTGTGGAGGGGAAGTCACAAAGTGAGAGGGTTTTGTTTTGTTTTGTTTTGTTTTTTGCACATAATCCGGAGTCAAGTGATCATTGATAAATTTGTGCTTGGCGGTATCATTTTGGTCTGAAGGCAAAGGCTAACAGGAAGGAATGTGTGGTAATTTGGAACAGAAAAGCCCTTGTGGATCGGGGGGGGGGGGAAGCTGATTGTGTTAGAAGGCTGTGGTAGATTCTTTCACTTTGATTTAAACTTTTTTTTTTTAAATAAAAAATACCGGGTCGAGTGTTCAACCCCCAAAAATCAGAATTATTGGGAAGGGACTGCTTATTCAGCCTTGCCTTCCTTATCGTTCTTGCGAGCTCTGACCACTTCTGTGGCCAAAGCAACTGAAGAAACAGTAGCCCCAGAAGTCCTTTAGGATAAGATAGTGGATACATTGGGTACTAGAGGCTCCAACCATCATATTCCTTTTCTTGCTTCTGTATCAATGTATAACGGGTGAAATCCAGCAGGTTCTGACAGGTTCTGGTGAACCGGAAGCGGAAATTTTGAGTAGTTCGGAGAACCGGCAAATACCACCTCTGGCTGGTCCCAGAGTGGGGAGGGAATGGGGATTTTGCAATATCCTTCCCCTGGAATGGGGAGGGAATGGGGATTTTACAGTATCCTTCCCCTGCCCCGCCCACCAAACCATATCACGCCCCCAAGCCACGCCCACAGAACCGGTAGTAAAAAAAATTGGATTTCACCACTGGTGTATAGTGATGGAAGGGATTTTAGTATTGGATAGCAATGAGGGATAAGCCTAGATCTTCTTTGCATTTTTCGTGGCTTAATCTTTTTTTTTATTATTATTATTTTTTATTTTTTTAAAAAAACACCCATCAGGAGCGGTCATATGCTGACCCACCAAAAAACAAAGCCCTTCATTTGCATAGAAGAAGGTTGCAATAAGAGCTACTCGGACCATCGATCGCTGCGCCGGCATTACGAAATGCACCACGGCCTGCGGCTGCTGAAGGACGAGGAAGCCTGTGAGAGCACACCGCCTCCGCACGATTCGCACGCCCAGGCGGGACAGAGCAGTTTGAGAGCGGCAGAGAGCTTGTCTGCTCACCCGGAATCGCAAGCGCCCAATCATTCCCTCCTGCCCAACCGAGACCTGCTGAGATGCATCGTTAGCAGCTTGGTCGGCCCGAAGCTTCCGTCCGCTCCTTCCTCATCTGTAGGACCGAACGAAACCAACTCCAGGGGACCCTTGCAGCCTTCCAGCTCGGTCTACGGTCAGATTTCCTGTGCGCCCACCTGTAGCGCTACTGCGGTCAGAGAAACCCCCGGCGAGAAAGCCATGAAGGACATTTACCCTTGCCGAAAGAACTTACCTTCTTCCAGCATGTACACTATCATCAACACGGGGAATTTATCCATACTTGGGCCATCGGAAAGCCATACAAATTTGCCAGACAGGCCTTCCCACTCGGAACGCGACTTCCCCATAGAAGCCAGCGCTTTGGAGTATTGGTCCAACAGCGGTATGCCCCGTTTCCCCTTATTCAGAGGCCAGAAGTTTCCTACCCCCACCCAACAGCCAAGCAGCAGTGTCCAGTGGGCCAGAAACGCACCCCCAGTTGGCGCCAAAGCCAAAGGACACGGCCTTTACGTTGCTCAACTGTCTTCTGCCGGCCACGAAGCTTCCCAAGGGATAATGGGACCGTCTCATGCGTTTGACTCCGTCAGGCCCACCTTCGAGTGTCCAGATGTTTTACCTTTCCCTCCGGCTTCTTTAAAGACCCACGGGGAAGTTTCCGGAGAAGCCAGACTCCGGTGCTTTGAAGAGACGTTCAGCCCAGCGGCGAGACTTTCGGACACCCCGAAACATAGCCTACTCCAGAAGGGCGAGGCCACGCCGCTCTTCCGGCAGCTCTTCATGAAATCCAAGGAATCCTCTCTGAGCCAGGATCAGCTCCAAGTCCAGAGTCACCTTTTCCAGAGGATCACCAAATCTCAGCACATCGTGTCCCACACCAAGGTGTTGGCTCCATCGAACGAGGCCGAACCGGTGGGAGCCAAACCGGTTCCCTGTGGGTTTCAGGAGCAGGCGGATTTGGCTCGCCCGGCCGTGGAAAACGACGGGCCTCCTTTGACTCCATTCCAAGCCGACTTTTCACCTGATCTCGAAAAAGACGGGCACCAACCGCCTTTGCCCGCTTTTCATTCGTCTGCCCTGCCCTCTGTAACCACAAGCGGTGTTCCTCAGGCAAAGCACTCCCGGCCTTCCAAAAGATGCCTAGAGTGTAAAGAATTTTCCAGCCCCAATCAGTACGAAAACACCCCAGGAAACCACACTTACGGGAAGCCAAGGGAATTGGAGAACGACTCCCCTTTACCCAGGAAGAAAGAGAAGGCCAAGGCTTGTGCTAAAGAGTCCGGCAGCAAAGGACATTCTCGCAGCGGTCGGCCCCGCCGGAAGGAGAAGCCCAAGTTTGACATCACCGCCATGGCCTCCCCTAGTCAAGTCGCCATGGCTTCCTTTTCCTTGCCCAGCACCTCATTTGAGAGCGTGTCCAGAGCCAAGCCCAAGCTGACGATTTTCAACAGAATTCAGGCATGTTTTTAAGGCTTTTTTTTAAAAAAAGAAATCAGAATAGGCCTATGGAGATTATTAGTCGTCTAGGTCAGGGGTGTCATTGAGGGCCGCATCGGGGTTGTGTTTGACCTTGGGGGAGCGTGGCCAGCTCGACGTCCGTTTTCGGCTGCGACCAGGGGTGGGCTGCTGGGGATGCGCAGGGGTTCGGGAGAAACTCTAGCTAAGATTCTGTGCAGTTCGGAGAACCCCCAAATCCCACTCCTGGCTGGCCCAGCCCCTCCCCTCCCAGGAGTCCCCGCACGGCCCATTTTGGATGCAGGTAAGTTGCAGGGTGCACGCAGAGGCTTGGGGAGGGCGAAAACTGGCCTACCGGAAGTTTGGGAAGGCCAGAAAAGGGCCCGTTTCCAGCCTCCGGAGCCTGGGTAGGCCGTTTTTGCCCTCCTGGAGGCTCGAAGAAATCCTCCGGAGCCCAGGGAGGAGGGCAAAAATGCACACACCTCCCACGGTGCAGGATGCCGACTAGGCCACGCCCAGCATGGCCACCCCCACCCAGCAATTGGGCAGAGAACCCCTTGCTAAAATTTTTGAAGCCCACCCCTGGCTGCGACGGCCTCTTTTTTTTTTTTTTAATTTGATTTATATGCCGCCCTTCTCCGGAGACTCAGGGTGGCTTACAATGCGTTAAGCAATAGCCTTCATACTTTTGTATATTTATACAAAGTCATCTTATTGCCCCCACAAACTGGGTCCTCATTTCACCTACCTTAGAAAGGATGGAAGGCTGAGTCAACCTTGAGCCTGGTAAGATTCGAACCTGCAGTAATTGCAGGCAGCTGATGTTAATAACAGAGTGCTTTAAACCACTGTACTACCAAGTCTCTGGCAGCCCTTTGCCAACCAAAATGTGCACCCCCACCCCAGCTCTTGTTTTTGACTGCGACAGCCTCCTGCAGCTCTCCACACCTCTCCCCCGAGCTCCATTTTCGCTGGCAGAAGGCTGCAGGAGGCCATCACAGTTGAAAACAGAGCTCAGGAGGGCCGCATGTGGCCCTCCCGAGCTCCGTTTTCGCTGGCAGAGGGACCACGGGTCGGTCCTTCACTGTTTCCACGGCAGTCCCGCGGGCCAGATCTAAGCACCCCATGGGCCTTGAGTTCGACACCCCTGATCTACGTCATGGTTGTCCCAAGGGAGCTTCTCCAAAAGGCAAAATGGACTTCCTTGGCGTTTTTTTTTTCTTCTTCTTCTTCCTTGAAAACGTTTCGTTTCTGGTCCAGAACTGAAGAAGCTCCTTGGATGAGAAGTGAAACGTTTTCCAGGGAAGAAAACAAAGTCCGCTGGCGTTTTGGAAAAAAGCAACCTTTGGGACAGAAGTAAATCCTCCAGGCATATCAGGGTTTCTCAAAGTTTTGGGGCTGATGAATATTTGGAATTATGTGTATTTTCGGAACCTGCCAGAAGTTGTCAGCCATGATAAGAAGGTCTTGCACTAGTTACAAAAGAGCCACTGGGGTGGGCTTGGCTCTCAAAAGATATTAAAAATGTCCATTTTTAAAAGCAACGAGAGTTAGAAATGACCCCAAAACACTAGAATGCGGAAAGAAAGGTGAGGTCCAAAGCACCATTTGACCGAAGACAAATTGGGAATGGTCGGTGAGGTGCATAGAGGCGATACAGGTAGTCCTCGACTTACGACCACAATTGAGCCCACAATTTCCATTGCTAAGCGAGACGGGTTAAGTGAGTTTTGTTCCATTTTAAGACCTTACTTGCCCCAGCTGTTAAGTGAATCACTGCAATTGTGAAGTTAGAACGGTTGTTAAGTGAATCTGTCTCCCCCATGGATTTTGCTCGTCAGAAGGTCGCAAAAGGGAACCGAGTGGCCCCAGGGACACCGCAACCGTCATAAATGTGAGTCGGTTGTCAAACATCCGAATGTAAATTGCATGATCGTGTGAAAAATGGCCATAAGTGACTTTTTTCAGTGCTGTTGTAACTTCGAATGGTCACTTAGTGAACCGTTGTAAGTGGAGGACTACCTGTATACATAGGTTTGTATCTGTGTCAGCACCAGGAATCAAGCCTGATTTCAGGGGGCCAGATGTAAAGAAACCAGCTGTGTGAAATGCACCAGGGAAAGTTTATGATAATCTTTACCTTGGAAAAATCTTCTAAATAATAGTCCTCATCTGTAGATAAAAAAACCTATTTGTATATGTATTTAATTTCTTTCTTTCTTCCTTCCTTCCTTCTTTCCTTCCTTCCCTTCCCTTCCCTTCCTTCGAAAAACACAGGGTGGAAATATCTACAGCTTTACTAATGCAGTCAAAGAGGAATGCTTTTCTCCTGGATGGTAAGCAGGGGTGCATTATGTTTTAATACTGCCTAAAATATTAGTGTATGTAAGTGTATATATGTGTATATACATACACATACATACACACACATACATTCAGAGACATACACAGACACGGACACATATATAAATATATACATACACACACATACACACACACTGAGTGTATGTATCTATAGCTATATCAATCTCTCATATATATATGTATGTACCCTGTTTCCCCCAAAATAACATATCCCCTGATAATAAGCCCAATCGGGCTTTTGAGAGCATGACAATAAGGCCAAGCGCTTATTTCAGGGTTCAAAAAATATAAAACGGGGTCTTATTTTCAGGGAAATACGGCATGTATGTATGTACGTATGCATGTATACATACACATACACAGAGAGAGACTTAATTGCAATTGTGGTTACAAAACAAATATCCTTCACCATAGTTGAATAAACACTCAAGACACACACACAGACACAAAGACGCAGACACAAAGACACACACAGAGAGAGAGAGTTTTTGTTCAGGTAATTTCAGCTGCACCGGTCAAGTTCCCTGAGATTACTTCTCCTGTCTGATAAAGGCATCCAGAAAAAATAAACCAAAAAGAGAGCTAAAACCTGGCCCGCTCATAATAATTCTTAATTTTAATCTTATCGGGGAGAGAATTTGGGAAAGCCCAGGAAGAAATAAAATGTGAAGTTTCTCTTGCTCGTGCTAATAAAACCGAGTTGGATAAATAAGCTTCCTGGGCGTTGAACAGATTATAATTCGGTACATATATTGGGCGGGGGGCGGGGGGGGAAGACATCCGGGAAGCAGAGAGACAATCGGTGCTTCCAAAGATGGAATTTCAAAAGTGATTTCTAAGCAGGCAGGCAAAGAAAATAAATAATAAATTTGATATGGCCCTAAGCAGCTCTCCCCTTCCCAGTTATCTCCTCTTGGGCAGCCCTTCTTTATCTACGATGTCCCAGTGAGATTCCTTCCCCAATTCATGGTTCAATGGCAAATGATCCATGGAAGCATTCCCCCCCCCTCCAGGCTGGCCTCAAAGGGTCTCTGAAGTACAAGAACATAGTTAAGGTTGTCATAAGGTTGGAGTATAAATCATAACATAAGACATTCAAGCTTCCTAATACTACGTTTCTCACCTTGCTTACGTCGATTGTTGCCAACAGTAGTAAGTCTGAGGCAGATCCTGGAGACAGGAGTGAGAAAGGGAACAGCTTTCGCTGTGCAACCTGCAATCAGCTGTTTTATACCGAAAGGGGCCTGAACAGCCACATGTGTTTCTATGGTGAGCAGTGGCAGTCTCCGTCAGGGAAGGAAAAGCAGCAGGTAAAGGGAATATCACCTCGGTAAATCAATGCTCGTTATCACTGATGCTGAAGTAGGCCGTAAAAAGGAGGAGGCCATCTCAAATGTTTTAGTCTGACTCAGCCTCGATTTTGCTCTATGTGGGGTCCTTGGTGCTCTCTGAATTTAGCGCTTTTAGCTGCAGACGTTTCATGACCCAGCTAGGGAATGCCATCAATGCTAGAAGGGAGCGGGGTTTGCTCTCTGTTTATAAACCCTACGCCCTTCTAACACTGATGATGTTCCCTAGCTGGGTAAATGAAACATCTTCAAGAAAACAACCAAGCTCAGAGAGCATCAAGGACCCTACAGTCCTCCTCCTCCTCCTCCTTCGTCGTCTTCCTCCTCCTCCTCCTCCTCCTCTTTCCTGCAAACTCCACTTCCCTCTAGCACTGATGATGTTACCTAGCTGGGTAAATGAAACATTTTTTTTTTATTTGATTTATATGCCGCCCTTCTCCGGAGACTCAGGGCAGCTTACAATGCGCTAAGCAATAGCCTTCATCCTTTTTTGTATATTTATACAAAGTCAGCTTATTGCCCCCACAAACTGGGTCCTCAATTTACCTACCTTAGAAAGGATGGAAGGCTGAGCCAACCTTGAGCCTGGCGAGATTCGAACCTGCAGTAATTGCAGGCAGCTGGTCTTAATAACAGGGTGCTTTAGACCACTGTACTACCAAGGCTCTTTCATCTTCAAGAAAACAACCAAGCTCAGAGAGCATCAAGGACTCTACAGTCCTCCTCCTCCTCCTTCTTCGTCTTCCTCCTCTTTCCTGCAAACTCCACTTGGGTCATGAAACATCTGCAAGAAAACATCTGCAAGAAAACCACCAAACTCAGAGAGCATCAAGAAGCCCACAGTTCTCTTCCTCCTCCTCCTTGTCTTCCCCATCTTCTGCACTCCACAAACCCCACTCCTTTTTAACACTGATGATGTTACCTACTTGGGTCATGAAATGTCTTCAAGGAAACCCCCAAGCTCAGAGAGCACCAAGGATCCCACAGATAAACCCTGGGCTACAAATATTCTTTTATATTGGTAGTCTGCTCACTGCATTCCTTACCTTTGATCACCAGATCTTTGCTAAGGTTTCCAGAAGAAATCTGCACACTATACTACTTATTTCTGAGCACAGCTATTTTTTAAAACTCAAATATTGCCAGGATGTATTCAGGGAAATAAAACGTCATCTTTTCACACACTAAGAGAGATGTGCTGCTTTCATCCTCTTCCCAGACAGTGGTACTGTAAGAACTTCTTTACTATTAAGCTTTTTTTTTGTTTGTTTTTTTTACCGGCAAAAGCTCCAGGCAGCTAATAATCCATGTAGAAATAAACAACCCACTGCATTAAAAAGGGACGGTGAACTTGCCAATGGGGATATGAAGCTATTTTAAAGAAGATAATTGCACTAATGTGTGTGAAATGCTTTGAATGTTGAGAAATTGCTACATAAAATGCTAATAATTATTAATCTACAATTCAGTCTTTTGACTTTTATTTGAACATATCCCAGCATGGTTATTACTTAGGGTTGGCTTCCAGGAAGGCATAACTAGAATTGAATAAAATGACATTTAACTGCCGGTTAAATCTATCTAGGATTGCAGTTCTAACATATTTGAAAGGGGAAATGTGAACAATTTGGTTTTTTATTTCATTAGATATTTCTTTCCAGGATGGCGTGATGGCCTAGTGGTGAACCTTCCCTCGGAAGGTTGAGAGTTCAACCCTAGGTAGTGGTAGATGTTTCTCTCTCAGGGCACAAACAGAAAATGTCTGCTGTGAACTCCACGTAGGCATCAGGAAGGGCATCCGTCCAGTAAATTCTCAGCTCAACAAAACCGGCATTTACTTCTGATTTTTCTTTCTTTCTTTTTTTTAAAGCAAAAATGCCCCACGACAATGGGTTTGCTTAACTACTGCAGAGTCACTTAATGACCACCGCAATAAGGTCATAAAATTGAGTTCGGTCTTAGGACGGTCACAATATATGACTGTAATGGGCAGGCTCCATTACGATCGTAAGTCGAGGACTACCTGCAATTTAAAAGAACAAAGCAGCATTTGTATTACAGCTTGTAGTCTTGCTGCTAGAACAGATAATTCTTTTTATATTTCCTTTAAGGCCTTTGAGGCAGAGAAGTGGCCCTTCCAGGCAGCAGCGGACCGAGCGGTTCCTCCCGAGATGAAAAGGTTTTCAGAAGATGGAGCAGTAGCGCCGATCGTAATGCCTGTCTCGGTGCCCATAATGGCTGCCAACCAACAGCAAGTGCGTGCTGATTTGTAGTACAAATTTTAAATTACAAAGATAAAATGAATTGCTTTTAAGTTCTGGTTAACAACAGCGATTCATGGAACTTTACACGTCGCGCAGGAGTCTCTGAATTGGCCATTTCGAAGAATAAGAAATTCACCATTTTTTATTGCTTATAGCAAGGGTTTCCAACCTTGGCGACTTTTAAGACTTGTGGACTTCAATTCCCAGAGTTCCTCAGCCAGCTTTGCTTTTTGGCACCAAAAAGGTTAACCATCACTGGTATAGGGTTTCCTGTTTGAGCAGAGGGTTGGACTAGAAGACCTCCAAGGTCCCATCCAACTCTTTTACTCTGAGCGGTTTACAATGTCAGCATTGTTTTTATTTTGCCCCCAACGATCTGAGTCCTCATTTTTCCGATCTTGGAAGGATGAAAGGCTGAATTGAACCCTGTCGGGATCGAACTCCAGGCTCAGTCAGCCTGCAATACTGCATCTTAACCACTGCGCCACCAGGGCAAGATGATGGATGAAGCCCAGAGAGTGATGTAAAGCACTATGGGGTTATATATAAGTCTAAACGCGAAATGCTATTGCTATCTCGTAAGGGTTATACAGTAGTGGTCAAAATTGTGGAAACCTTTTGGGAAAAGCGGATTTACCAAAACTAGCTAATAACACCACTTTTTGGGGGAGTAGTACCATAAAAGTATATATCAATGGAAAGATAATTTAATCAAGAATGTAATGCAATAACTTTTATGAAGGATTTACTATTAGAATAGCAGTTACAGTATAAAGGAGAAAAGTGAAACAGGTAGAAAAAACAAGATACACAAAAATGATCACCGTGTCAGTTAATCCTTTGTTGGGTAAACTTTAGCATGAATTATGGCCTTACAACGTCTTCCCATGGAGTGAACCAAGTCTTTTAGTTCTGCAGCTGTTATCATGTGAAACCAAGATTGAAGGATGGCTTCTATTAACTGGGTTTTATTGCTGGGTCACTTCTGATTAACCAGTTTCTTTAGTCGGCTCCATAGATTTTCAATTGGGTTAAGAAGGTCTGGGCTATTCCCAGGCCATTCCAGCAATGGAATAGGATTATCTTGAAACTCCAAAAAAAAAAAGAAGTGGTGTTATTAGCCATCAAAGCTCAAAAATACATTTTTCCCAAAAGGTTTCCACAATTTTGGCCACTACTGTATCTACCTGTAAGGCTGTCCCCATGGAGGGGAGAGATGGAGTTTGCCTGGGAAAGGACTTGAGAAACAATGGTTTGCCTAAAGCTACCTAATCATGACCCAGTTGTGATGCAGCTCACCAGCATCCTGATTTGAGCTCAGCCTTGTTTATGTCACAAGTCAAACCTAAAGGAAGGAGGCCGCGAGTAGGCCATTACTTCTCCCTGTTGGACCTAGAGGTTCTCCTGGCCTTCTGCTTCACAGTGGCTCAGTTTCTTAGATACCTACACAGGGATTTCTCAGTCATCTCTTCTGTCCCTCCTAAGGAAAAGCGGAAACCCATCATGTCCTCAACAGATACGGTAGGACTGCTCCTAAGTAAAATCCAGCAGAGGAATAGAAACCTCCATTTTATAGTCGTTTAGTGGGTGAAATTTTAGTAGGTGAAATGGAGTGGTGCGGTGGCCTCGAGGTGGAGCTCACGCTTCACAATCGGGAGGTTGTGAGTTTGATCTTAAGTAGAGGCAGATATTTCTCTCTTTGGGCACACTGAGAATATATATCTGCTGAACAAAACTCTGCATTGGTGACAAGAAGGGCATCCGGCCATTAAGTCACTCTACTAGCGCCATTCAGTTGCCCAGACTCCACCCCAATGCAAGGGATTACGAGGTCATCAAATGAAAATGATTAGTGGGTGAAATTACAAATTTGTACGTTTTAAAGGCTCCCTAGATTTGGGACCCGGCAGGCAGCACTAGCTTTTATCAATGCTAGGTGAGAGAGTGAAGTCCTAAATCAGTGGTGGGGAACTGTGGCCCCTTTATGACCATGCTGGCTCAGGAATTCTGGGAGTTGAAGTCCACAAGTCATAAAGGGACCATAATAATAATTATTATTATTATTTATTCAATTTATATATCGCCCTTCTCCTATTGGACTCAGGGCGATGCACAGCCAAGGATAAAAAACACACCAATACAAAATTTAAAATCAATTAAAAGAATTATACAGCTTTGGCCCACAATTTAAAATAATAATCCCCCCACCTCTGTCCTAGGTCAGCATTTATAGATAGAAAGGCTGTAGCTGGAAGCATAGTGATGTCATAATCCCATCGCCGACGGAGTTGGCATTTTCAGTTTCCCTTCAGGATTGCAGCTTTCAACCTTCTTTAAAGTACTTTTTTTTAAAATGAAAACTAGAGACTAGCAGTAATTCTTTTTTATTTGGCTATTGGATCCCCTTCTCGTCCCCCCCCCCCCCATGGTTATACAGTGTCGAGTTTCTGAAGTCCTCTGGGCATGGGGCAGGCGGTACAGATAATGGATTTTCTGAGTTATCTCTTGACAGGCTACAATTCCTAGGATTCTCTAGGGGAGATAACATTTAATATGGTACCAAACCTGATATATTTGGTATTGTGGGTAGATCTTGATTGTTATTTATCTTGGTAGGCTAATATCAATAAAATCTTTGGTTATCAGTTGTGGGGAAGAGAAAACCAAGTCTGATGGTTGGTATATGTTTGAGAAAGAAACATAATTTGACAGTTCGGTCTAACGGTTAAGGCACCAAGCTAGAAAGCGGGAGATTGCGAGTTCAAGTCCTGCCTTAGCCATGAAAGCCAACTGGGTAACTTTGGGCCAATCATCAGGAGACGGTGAGTTCAAGTCCTGCCTTAGCCATGAAAGCCAACTGGGTAACTTTGGGCCAATCATCAGGAGACGGTGAGTTCTAGTCCCGCCTTAGGCATGAAAGCCAGCTGGGTTACTTAGGGTCAGTCTCAGCCCAGCCCACCTCACAGGGTTGTTGTTGCTAGGGAAAATAGGTGGAGGACAGTGTGTTGAATATGTTCACTGCCTTGACTTACTTGTAAAAATAATACAGGCAGGATACAAATAAAATAATTTTACGAAACATAAAAGTTGAGGCAGATTTATTTTCTGTTATTCCAAAGAGCAGCATAGCTAGCATAAAACTGGTAAGAAAAATGATTTTAACTAAACATAGGAGAAACTTCTTAGAGGGGTGTAGTGGCCTTGTTGTGGAGCTCTCACCTCACAATCAGGAGGCTGTGAGTTCAATCCTAGGTAGCGGCAGATATTTCTCTCTCTGGGCGCAATGAGAAAAAAAAAAATCTGCGAACTCCATGTAGGCATCAGGAAGGGCATCCGGCCAGTAAACGCTCAGCTCCATTCAGTCACCCTGACTCCACCCTGATGCAAGAGATTATGAGGTGGTTAAAAAGGAAAAAGAAAAAAAAATAGAAGTCTTAAGTCAAAGCTGTTTGATAGTGTAAGAGACGACTTGGGTATAGTGGATTCTAGAAAAACTGAAGCTGGACTGGATCCTATCATTGCAGGTTATAAAACACTGATTCGAGGTAGTCTTGAATAGCTTGAATAGTTGGGGCAAAGATAGAGTATTCCTTTTAAGGGTACACTACTGTGCAGGCTACCTTAATTTTTCTTTTCCAGTTAATCAAATCTAAACTCCTTGACTCTATTTCTTTTGGGCCAGGTTAATGAGAAGGAAAGCCAGGATGAGAAAGATCTTCAGGAAGGCATGCCCCCCAAGAAGAAGAAGAAGCGAGCTCATCCCAAATCCCTGCTCATCCCACCTCCGTCACCTGCTGGGAATGAGATTCACCCTGGCACTGGAGGCTGCTACCAGAGTAACCTTCGCTCACCTGTCTTCCTCATGGACCATTTTCTTCAAGGCTTAATGCAGTGCTCTCCGTACACGCCACCCCCGATGCTCAGCCCCATTCGTGAGGGCTCCGGGCTCTACTTCAACACCCTCTGCTCTACTTCGACAAATCCCACTCCTGTCTCCATGTACACCTCCGTTTTAGGTAAATTGCCCAGCCCTGCATCCTCTGGGACGTTTGCATAAAGCTGCCCAATGCAAAATAAATCCACTATTTGTATCCCCCCCACTCTCTCCTTCCCTCCCTCCTACTCTCCCTCCCTCCCTCTCTTTCTTTCTTTCTCCTTCCTTCCCTCCCTTCCTCCTTCCTTCTGTCCTCCCTCCCTCCCTCCTTCTTTCTTTCTCTCCTTCCTTCCCTTCCTCCTCTCTTCCCTTCTTTTTTCCTTCCTCTCATTTCTTTTTCTTTCTTTCTTTCTTTCTTCCTCTTTCTGTCTTTGTCTTTCTCCTTCCTTCCCTCCCTCCCTCCTTCCTTCTGTCCTCCTTCTCTTTCCTTCCTTCCTTCCTTCCTTCCTTCCTTCCTTCCTTCCTTCCTTTTCTTTCTTTCTCTTTTTCTGTCTTTTGCTCCTTCCCTCCCTTCCTCCTCCCTTCCTTCTGTCCTTCCTCCTTTTCTCCTTCCTTTCTTTCTTTCTTTCTTTCTTATTTATATAGTGTTCCTTTTCCTGCTTCCAATCAGTCTCCCCCACAAAAAAGACTATTGTTCTGTCTTTATTTATCATAGCTATTGAAAAAGAGTTAACTTGTGGTAAGATGGACGGCCAATAAATTTTATAAATAAATGAACTATTGAAAATGGTCGATCCTTACTGAACACCTTCATTTTTATCTCTTTTTTTGCCCTTTGTTTATTTTTTTAAATAATTTTGAAAAACCTTTGTGATTGAACCTGTAAAAGAACAGTGGAAAATAGAAGGAACCATCTGGGTCCAGTCCTGCTGCTGAGGTTGCAGATGACAATGCTAAAGAGAAGAGAAAGATTCCATAAATGTTGATTTTGTTTCTAACTTGTGCTTTTATTTTTAGACGGGATGGATGGAGCCCTTTTATTCTCCCTTGTGAAAGATACTACCAAAATTAACATAGAACCGTAAGTGACATAGTGTTAAATCAGTGGATGCAATAACACCTTAATGTTCTCTCCTTTTTAATGCCATGTAGCTTTAGCAAGCACAATATTTTGACTGTCGTAACTGTTCTTCCATTTTTTTCTTCTTCCATGTATTCTCTACTCAAAACTTTTCCTTTTGGCTATTTAATTCAGACACATGTTTTTAGTCTTTTAGCTTCACAAGGTGATTTGCAAAAACAAAAGACAAACTTGACAACACAATTCATACTAAGGTTACCCAACAATTAACTGACATGGTGATAATTTTTGTATATCTAATTTTTTCTGTGTGTTTCACTTTCTTTTTTTCTACATGTTTTCTTCTTTATACTATAACTATCCTAATAGCAAATCCTTCATCAAAGTTATTGCATTACATTCTTGATTAAAATATCTTTCCATTGATATCTAATTTTATGGTACTGCTCCCCCAAAAAGTGGCGTTATTAGCTAGATTTAGAAAATCCACTTTTCCCAAAAGGTTTCCACAATTTTGGCCACTACTGTAGGGTCTCTCAGAGATCCTCTTTATACAAGCATCCACTCTTTCTTCTTTTTTCTTTCTAATAGTTGCCTCCTCAGTCATGCTTTTTTAAAAAAGAAAGAAATTATACGCTGTTTCACATCTCTTTTCCGTCATTGCAGGCACATTAACATTGGAAGCCGATTCCAGGCAGCTATACCCGATCTCCAAGACAGATCAAACCTTGAGGACTATGAGCACCCAGCCTCATTAGTCTGGAAGCCCTGGGGAGACATCGTCACCAACAAGGAGACCCAGAAAAGAGGTGTGGGGACAGGTTTTTTTTCCCACTTTGAGGCTCTTTCCACCCCACGTGCACCCTCTTCTTTGACTTCTAGTCTTTCCCCTTTTTAAATGGAAATTTTAAATTTAGTTTTAAAGTATTGGGGTTTTAAATTTGTTCAGCCAAATTATTTAATTCGTTTTATTCTATTTTAAATTTTGTATTTATATTGTTTTATTCTATGGCTGTTCACCGCCCTGAGTCCTTCGGGAGTAGGGCGGTATACAAATTCAATAAAGCTAACTAAAACTAAACTTCTACAGGGAGTCCTCGACTTACGACCACAATTGAGCCCAACATTTCTTGCCCCATTTTACGGCCTTTCTTGCCACCGTTGTTAAGCGATTCTCTACAATTGTTAAGTGAGAAACACCGTTGTTAAGTGAATCTGGCTTCTGCTTGATTGTATGACCCCGGGACACTGCAACCGTCATAAAAGCGAGTCAGATGCCAAGCGTGTGAATTTTGATCATGTGACTGTAGGAATGCAGCAACGGTCGTAAGTGTGAAAAACGGTCCTAAGCCCCTGTTTTCAGTGGCTGTTGTAACTTTGAACAGTCACCCAACGACTTCTTTTGTAAGTCGAGGACGGCCTGTGTACCATGTAGTTGTAATTCCTGCTGAGCAGAACTTAACTAACCCTTTTAAAAACGAATTCACTTGCAGTGGCAGATCTGCTAAAGTTGGCCTGTTCCAGCGCGATGCCAGGCGGAGGGACCAATTTAGAACTAGCTATACATTGTCTGCACGAAGCCCAAGGAAACATTTTGGTAAGATGCTGAGGTGGAATCTCCAGCTGGACTGGAAAGAAAAAAAAAAAAGAAAGCTAACCTTTATTGACTTCACTTTTTTCCTGTGAACACACTGGCACACATTTTTTTAAAAAATGAAATTCTGAAAAAGAATCCCTGCGGATTTTACTTCGCTGGTCGTTGCTGTCATTGCAGAGCGCTGTTTCCTCCCCGCCAAAGTGGTACCTGTTTATCTACTCGCATTTGCATGCTTTCAAATTGCTAGATGGGAAGGAGCTAGGCAGAAACAGGTGCTCACCCCATCGTGTGATGCACAGGTCTCGAACCTGGGCTGTCGGCTTTCCAGCTGAGAAGCCCAGCGTCTTAATCACTGAGCCACTGGAAGGAGGCGTTAAGGAGGCCCAAGCTTAAAGTCCTTGCACTGCAGAAAGCGGAATAGGCCTGATCTCCTTAAGGGTCCCCGAAGCCTTATCTGACTGTCTCCAAGTCTGACAAGATCCTTGTTGTCTGACAAGACCCTGTTGTTCCGCCAGGCTGGGCTATCAACATAACAATTTTAAATTGGGTTTTAAATTTCCGGGGTTTTAAATTGAGCCAAATTCATTTAATAATTTTAAACTATTTTAATTGATGTTGTCTTGTGTTTTTAATAGGCTGTACACCGCCCTGAGTCCTTCGGGAGAAGGGCGGTATAGAAATAAAATTATTTATTTATTTATTTATTATTTATTTGTAACAGCCGACTAGCAACACAAGTTCTGTTTCGTAAAACTTCACAAGTGGTTCTACTTGCTTGTGCCTGACATATTGTATTTTTCAGACTACAAGATGCACTTTTTTCTCCCAAAAGGGGGCGAAAATGTCTTATAGACCAAATATTGCCGAAGTCCCGCCCACCCACCGACCATTTTTTGGCCTCCACACGCCCGTTTTTGGGCCTTTTAAAAGCCTTTTTGAGGCCTTTTTTCAGCCCATTTTCGAGGCTTTTTTTGGCCCATTTTTAGGGCTTTTTGGCCTATTTTCAAGGCTTTTTTCGACTGTTTTTGAGGCTTTTTGGCCCGTTTTTGAGGCCCGTTTTTGAGGCTTTTTTCGGCCCGTTTTTTCAGAAAAAAGCAGACCAAAAACACGCCCCAAAAAAGGAAAACCAAAAACTTTTTTTATTGTTTTTCTCTTCTAAATTTAGGTGTGACTTACAGTCTGAAAAATACGGTATGCTCCAGTTGAAACTTAGACAAAGCAAACCTGTTTTTTGTCATGGAACAAGTACAATTCTTATTGGCTTGACACAATGCATTGCAGAATATAACCAAGTTACCACCTTAACTCCTATTGAGCAGAGAAGCAAACTTGGCTTGCCTGAGAAATTTCTGTGTTCAGTTCCTGACACCTCCATATTTACAGGTGATATAAGCGATTCCTGCATTAAGAGGGGACTTTTATGTAGAGAGAGAAATAATTCAACCTGGTTAAGCGTGAGCTTTGTTGACACATGCAAAAAAACCTATTTTCTCTTTCAAATTAACCATTACAAGAAGTCACCTAATGGTAAGACTGCTTCTCTCCTACAGCAATTAGGAGTCGTTGGCTGGGGGCAAGCATTGCAGGAAACCTGGCTTGTTAAACAGGCCATTTTAGCCAGCTGTACTCCGAATACTGCACCATATAAGCCATATTTGGGCTTATATTATGAGGATCCTGAAAAATCATGCTAGGACTTACTTTCCAATAGGGTCTTATTTTTGGGGAAACAGGGTCTATTAAACATAGTAGTACCCTGTTTTCCCGAAAATAAGAGCCAACCGGAAAATAAGTACTAGCATATTTTTAGGATGCTCATAATATAAGCCTTACCCCTAAAATAAGCCCTAGTTAAGATTGTCAGCCAGATGGATGCATTTTGTACCGTATTTCCTCCAAAATAAGACCTAACCAAAAAATAAGCCCTAATGCGTCTTTTGGAGCAAAAACTAATATAAGACCCGGTCTTATTTTCGGGGAAACACGGTAGTTGATGGCACATGTAAATAACACAGAAGCATCTGAATCATATTAAAACTTAGCATAGTGCATACACCCATATCATCTTAAGATTTCCCCGGCTCTTTCTACTTGACAAGAGTTAATGATTGTCTTCTCTACAAACAATTCTAGGAAGCACTGGAGATGATGTTACTCCAAGGGCCACAGAAGCCTCCTGGACATTCTCTTGCTAACTACCATTACTCAGGTAAAAGAAGATGACCTCGGTTGTCAGGATACATAGCCACGAGGTTAAGATGTTTAAATTTAGCAGCTGGAGCAGTGGGGTGGTGTGCAGTGAGCCCATCTCTGTTTTCTTCTAGGATATTAACTTTTTTGGGTAGAGGGGTTTGTACCCTTTTGAAATCTTTTAAGCTCCTTGCCCTTTTCCCATCATTCTTGATTTTACGGGGGTGGGGGGGGGGAAAGAATCAAGTTCTTTAAAATGGGAAAAGAAAAATGGAAAATTACAATTTTGGCATTCGTTGTAAAACCAGTGATATTTGGCAAGGTGAAGTAACTCCTTGGAAGAAAAGAAGCTGCAAGATTTAAAAATTAGGAGTTAGGAAATAATAAAAAAAAGGGATGTCCGTTAATGCAAATTTCAGGGAAAATTGGACATTTCGTCCACTACTGAGATAGGAAATACTTCTACTGTTTGCATTTCCTTTATTGGGAAATGTGAATTGGTTCGTTCACCTTTGGCTGTTAAATGTTACCGTATTTTTCAAAGTATAACACGCACTTCCCCCCCCCCCAAAAGAGGGTGAAAATTTGGGTGTGTCTTATTCACCGAATGTAGCCCTGCCCACCTGCCGGCCCCCACCCTTTGGCCTTTGCCTCCCAGCAGTTTGCCTCCTTGCAGCAAACAGCCCGTTTCAGCTTCAGCACAGCCTGATTAGCACAAGCAGCTGATTGTTGGCCTCCCGATCATCAGCTGTTTCAGGCTGCAGGGGTTGCCATTGCCTATTTCCGCCTCCATGCACCCCATTTTCAGCCTCTGCTGTTTGCTGCAAGGAGCCAAATTGCTGGGAGGCAGAGGCGGATTTTTTTTTTCTTGTTTTCCTCCCCCAAAAAAGGTAGGTGCGCCTTTAGTCCAGAGCGTCTTATACTCTGAAAAATACGGTGATTAATAAAGCAAAAATGTCAGTTTTTTCAGAGGTATCTACAAACTCACGGCATTAGAAGGTTTTCCCCAGGAAACAAAAATAAGCCAAAGGGAGGTAATAAAGAGGTTAATTTTGTTAAACCAGATTGCTTATATATTGCTAATTTGTTTCTGGTTGGAATTCCAGGTTCACACCTGTGGACGCCTGCTGAGAAGCAGTTGTTCAAGAAATCCTTTGCCCTGCACAAAAAGGACTTCTACCTCATACAGAAGAAGGTGAGCCTTTCCACAAAGGAGCGCTTTCATTTCCTCTTCCTAAAATATACCCTTTGTTTTGAATATCCCAGCTTTTCTCTTCTCTTTCATTCAGTGGTGAAATCCAAATTTTTTTACTACTGGTTCTGTGGGCGTAGCTTGGTGGGCATGGCTTGGTGGGCGTGGCAGGGGAAGGATACTGCAAAATCTCCATTCCCACCCCACTCCAGGGGAAGGATGTTGCAAAATCCCCATTCCCACCCCACTCCAGGGGAAGGATACTGCAAAATCCCCATTCCCCCCCACTCTGGGGCCAGCCAGAGGTGATATTTGCCGGTTCTCCCAACTACTCAAAATTTCCGCTACCGGTTCTCCAGAACCTGTTAGGACCTGCTGGATTTCACCCCTGAATCCATTAGTTGTTCTCAGGACGGAGAGCTCAGTGGCTCATTTTACATTAGAGCCGTTGAGGTCACTTTTATCACAAGCAGCCCTCGACTTAACAACAGTTTGTTTAGTGACCATTCAAAGTTACAACGGCAGTGGGGGAAAAACGGGACGGCCGTTTTTTCACACTTACAACCATTGTAGCATCCCCAGGGTCAGGTGATCAAAATTCAGAATCTTGGCAACTGGTTCAGATTTACAACAGTTGCAGAGTCCTGGGGTCACGTGATCCCCTTTTTGCGACAAGCAAAGGCAATGAGGAAGCCGGATGAATGATGGTGTTGCTAAGTGAACTATCAGGGTCCCAAGCAGCCAAGTAAGACTCCGAGGCAGGCAATTCCTCAAAAGATCCATTTTACTAGAGATGTTATATTGGCATATCTGGGAAAACCCGAATCCGAAAGCTCCCGAGTTTTCCCCACCCTGTTCTGCCCCAGCTATGGATCCCAAAGAATGCAGCACACACAAACTCTATACAAAGCTTATTTTACTCAAATAACTTAGTCTTTATCATTCAAAGGCTGTTAATGAACTGTCTTAACAGCCTACCAGAATTCTAAGATAAGGTAATCACAGTCTTACTAGAGTTGGCAGAAAGCCCAGAAGCAATTTTGCAGACACGAAGGAGAGTGAACTAAAGTTGTTCCCTACAAATTGCTTCAGTTGGCGTTCCTCCTTAAATAGGCGAAGGGAGTGGCCAATTAGCCCCAAGCCTTACTCTCGAGGAGACCTCCTCCTGAGGAGCCACTCCTGTCTTTTGGCAGCTCTGCGCGCCCGTGCATCAAGAAGAGGCTCCTCCTCTTCTTCGTCTTCACCCATGGAAGTTTCTGGAAGTTCTGAAGGCCCTGGCTGAATCCCCGTCTCTGGCACCACATCTTCTCCAGCCTCCTCATTGTCTGACTCGAGTACCAGTTGCACAGGCTGCTGGCGCAGCACCACACCAGCCTCCTCGCTGTCGGAATCAGCTACAATCCGCACAGGCCGCTGAGGGGCCACAACACCACCCAAAAGAAAGTGCGAGTTCCTACCCAACACCCACATGTCCATCACATGATCCAATCAAACCACTGCCTCAACTGGAGAGGCCTCCCAGTCACGCCGCTCCAGGTGCAGGCTGAACGTCCTTGACTCTCCGAGAAAAGAATGTTGTTATGGCTAAATAACTCTTACCAGCTCCATGCAATCCCCCCTCCCACTTTCCCACAGCACTAAGTGTGGCAGCCCTAAAGAGCCAAAAGAAAAGGTGGCCTCCAGATCTGACATGAACAACTGCAGTGATTCACTTAACAAGTGTGAAAAGAAGGGTCGTAAAATGGAGCAAAATTCACTTAGCAACGGTCTTGCTTAGCAGTGGAAATTTTGGGCTCCATTGTGGTCGTAAATTGAGGACTGGTTGTACCTGAATCTTAATTCTGATCTCAGATCTTTTTGAAGGCAGAAGGTGTGCCGAGAAAGGCAGCATCTACAACTTGTTCATCTAACCGTTTAAAGGGATTCCTTCTAGTTTTGCCTGTATTGAAATGATTTTTTTTTCTTTCCTCCTCCTCGAATAGATACAAACTAAGACCGTTTCTCAGTGTGTCGAATACTACTACAGCTGGAAAAAAATATTAAAATTTGACTGCAACCGAGCGCAGGTGGGAGAAAAGAGACCCAGGACTGAGCAGGATGAGACGGAATTGGATGAAGAAAAGGTAGAACAAGATTGAAAAGTTTGTTGGGAACGACAGCTGAGATTTAGGAGATGGATTTTTAAAAAGCCACATTTTCCCCCCCTTATACCGTATCCGCCATTTACTTTAGAAAATTGCAGAATTCACGCAGCCAATTTTCAGAATCGTGCAGGAGGAGATATCCCTAAACTGATTCTCTTTCCCTTTCGTCAGAAAGCTGTCGGAATAAATATTTGTTCTGTAAAAATTCGTGGTATTTTCCCGTATTTGTATTTTGCAATCTAGAAAGTGGTTCTTTCCACACCTTTGCAGCTTGTTGACTTTCAGGTTGAAGTTGTCTCAGCTCCTTTATGGCTTTGTGGGCTCCTCACAGACTGTTAAGAACGGACTGCCTCGTAAATTAGAAGCGACTGTACTGTTCCCATTTGAAGACTGCACCCTGGCAGTTTTCCAAAATTGCTGGCAAATTTGTTTTTTTATCCTTAACATAAAAATGGGAGGCTTTCAGGAATCCAAACCCCGTCCTAGAGCCATATTCCAAACATAAACAAAATGGAAGTTGAATATACAGGAGTGGCCAAAATTGTGGAAACCTTTTGGGAAAAGTGTATTTTCTAAAGCTAGCTAATAACACCACTTCTTTTTTCAGGCTCAACTAAGGTCCATAAATTAAAGAGTACCGTACCTAATCATGGCAGATGCGGTCTTCATTTCTGTTTTTCACATGGCTTTTTAGAGTTTATTGCATTGATCGACTGACTTAAGAGTTTGGGGCGATGTTGCTTTTAATTGGTTCTCTCTGAATGTTGCTCAAGTAGCTTTCATAATTGGAAAACGAGTGAATTGTAATTAAATCAACACACGGATGTTCCATGACTTGCAGATTGTATGCAGCCCCAAGAAAAGGCACTGCCACCTGCCTGAACAGGAGAATAAGCCGAAATCAAGGAATTACAAAAAGGCAGCGCATAGTGCTTTCAGTCCAGCCAGCAGCCAGAAGGACGTTCTGGATACCCCCAGAAACACAGGCAGCCAGGGGGTCTTTCCATGTAAAGAGTGTGCCAGGTAGTAACGGAAGTTTATTCATGCTCTTGATGTTTTGTGATTGTGTTTGGCTGCAGGGCCGGATTTTCCTATAGGCTAACTAGGCTTCAGCCTAGGGCCTCAAGATCAAGAGGGGGCCTCAAGATCAAGAGGGGCCTACATTCAAATTGTTAGCAAAATTAAAATTACACTTTCACTATAGGTGAAAGGGCCTCATAAGTGGAATAGCCTAGGGCTTCTTTTCATCTAAATCCGGCCCTGTTTGGCTGTGATGCTTAATCTCCAAAAGAGTTCCCCACTTCCATGTTTTACATGTTGGGGGTCATTTGCTGTGGCATCCCAGTAAGTTTTGCCTTCATCTGATGGCCATTGGTCCATGAGCATCAGAAAAAGCTGGAGCAAAAGAGAGCCTGTTTCATTTTATATTTTATATTATTTTATTTTATTTTATATTTACTTTTATTTTCATTCATTCATTCATTCATTCATTCATTCATTCATTCGAGTGGTGCGGTGGGTTATCAGGAGGCTGTGAGTTCGATCCTAGGTAGAGGCAGATATTTCTGTCTCTCTCTGGGCACAATGAGAATATATCTGCTGAATAACACTCCGCATTGGCGACAGGAAGGGCATCCGGCCAGTAAGCACTCAGCTCCATTCAGTTGCCCAGACTACATGGGATTATGGGGACTCTAAAAGAGGATGATTGATCATTCATTCATTCATTCATTCATTCATTCATTCATTCATTCATTCTATAGCCTCCTGCCTTTGTCAATGACTTCAGGCGGCTTATAATTTAAAAAAACCCATTATATTTGAAATGCTAAAAACATTTTAAAACAATAAAGATATCCAAAATAAATATACAGAGCAGCCGAGACACTTGGCCAGATAACAATTAGCAGGTTCAGCAGCCCAGACTCGAGAACACAGCCAGGTTTTTAGGGCCTTAAAAAAGGCTTAAGAGGGTGGGAGCTGCTCTTAATTTCCGAAGGGAGGATGTTCCACAGGGCAGGGGCCACTGCAGAAAAGGCCCTTCTTCTCGTCCTCGATGTTCTGTGGCTGACGGGATCTGCGGCATGCCTGTTCCTCTCGATCTAGTTGGACGAGCAGAGGGTCTTGGGCAAAGGTGACCCCTCAGGCACCACCGTCCCAAGCCATGCTTTAAAAGTAACCACCAGCGCCTTGAATTGCAACCCGAAACACACCGGTAACCAATGCAGCTCACACAGAAATGGTGTTACATAGTGCCGTGTACCTGGGACCATTTACTAGTGTTTGCTTACACTAAGTCAGGTGTCAGCAACCTGCGGCTCCGGAGCTGCATGCGGCTCTTTGGGCCCTCTGTTGTGGCTCCTTGTCGGGTGATCCCACCACTGGCTGGCCCCGCCCCTCGCCCTCCCCTCCCAGTCACTCCTCGCCTGGCCTGAGAAGGCGAGGGTGACGGCAGGGGATGGGGAATCAGCCAGGGCAGAGACAGAGAGATACAGAGAGAGGGGGAGAGAGAGAGGGAGAAGAGAGGGAGGGGGAGAGAGAGGGGGAGAAGAGAGGGAGGGGGAGAGAGAGAGATGTCAAAAGGATTTTGTGGTTCCCGGTGATTTTTAACAACTGGTTCTCTGCCCTAATGACCTGCTGGGTAGGCGTGGCTAGGGGGGGTGTCATGTGACTGGTGGAAGTGAGTGACATCGAGTTGGCCACGCCCACCCAGGTTTTGTGGCTCCCGGTGTTTTCTTTTCTGTGGGAAATGGGTCCAAATGGCTCTTTGAGTATTTAAAGCTGCACTAGCTGATAATGGCTTCTGTGTGTTTGTGTGTGAGAGAGGGGAAGGGAGGGAAGGAGAGAGAAGGCGAGAAAGGGAGTGAGAGGCAGGGAGGGAAAGAGGGAAGGGGGGAAGAGAGGGAGGGAGGGAGAGAAGGAGGGAGGGAAAAAGGTCTGAGAGAGGGAAGGAGGAAGGGAGAGAGGAGAAGGGAGAAAGAGGGAGGGAGGGAGAGAACTGTGCAACTGAAGAGTGCTTCTCTCTGGTCTACCTCTAGAGTGTTCGACAAGATAAAAAGTCGGAATGCCCACATGAAGCGCCATCGCCTACAAGAACAAATGGAACCAATGATAAAAATTAAGTGGCCCATAAAGCACTTGAAAAACGAACCAAAAAAGGAAGAAAAAAACTTGGACATGGATTTCCTCCAGTGGTAAACTGGGAAGGAGCCGTTTCGGGGTAAGAATGCTGTTAAAACTATCGGATTGGGGCGGGTGGTGGGTGGGTGGGAATCAGGTTTCTTGTAAAAATTATGTTTCAACGCTCCCACAATAGATAAAACGATTCCTAGTTTTGACATGCCTGGGTTTGAGTTAGCAAGGGAGAGAGGCCAGCTTAACATCTGCCAAGATCATTCGTCCCTCACTACAGGCCAGGAGTTGACATCCAGGATGGGCGCGGTGGTGCCCTTAAGAAAAAAACCCCAATCCTCCTTGAACCCTTCATTACAAGTAGCTAAATTCACCCTACGATTTGACACGATCATGTCCTCGGCTTCTGCGTTAAACTCTAGGAAAAGCTGACAAAAGGGGAAGGCAGGGAATTCACTGTGACCAACATGCACAGTGGAGACTCATAAAATTTACAAAAAATAAGGCAAAAGTTAAGATGGTCGAACTACTGTTGATGCCAGCAAGTTCGTTGCATACATTTTAATACAGGAGGACTATCATCTCTGTTCCAATTTGTTGCAATAGAAACAAAAGATAACAACAGCCTCTTACCGATCAACTTAACGATGTCAGCTTTAACCATTTGTATTCAAGTATTTTGGGGGAGTTTCTGTGCCGGTACAGATTAAACTTTCTAAAAAAAAAACCCTCAATATTATATCGCACCGGACAAATCATATTCCATCCTACGTGACTTAACGAATTAAGACTGCATTAAATTTTAGATACAAAGACTTGGAAAGTATGTTTTATTAAGCGTGTGCGAGATCTCCTGATCAGGCTGTTTTAAGGATGGTTTCTGGAACTTAATCCTCCCATTTAGAAGGGTTTTATGGTGGTTCAGTACAAAACAGGCTGATCCTGAGGATTAACTTCCAGATTTGAAGGTATAACCTTAACAGGTAATTAAACAGTTGATTTAACATACAAATCGCATCCTCTGCCTATCATATTTTGTTGCATATCTTGTTCAGTTCAAATGTTATGATACTCTAATTCTATCTTTCTCTCTCTCTCTCTCTCTCTCTCCCCTCCATCCCTCCCCAGCTGTGTCTTGTAGAGTTCTGTTAATATTACTATTTTTATTTTGAAGGAGGATAAAGTAGAACCGATCAGTGAGAAATTGACATTGTATTTCGAATCTTTTCTGTGACTGATATTGTACAACTGCTTTTTTGATTCACTCTATATAGCGCCGAAGTGACCTGTGTTCTTGTTATTTTGTATGCACTCAGTGTTGGTTATTAAATTGGGTTTTTGCAACCAAAACTGCAGCAGCTTTCTGGATTTATTCTTTGGTTAGCTAGCTCCGATCCAAATGACAATGCGGAAATCCAGAGAGAATGGGGGCTTGGTTGTTGTGTGTCGATCAGAATCCGTCAGCTGGTTTTTTGCACAAATAGTGCACAGAGGATTTAGGAGGCCTGCAGAGTGCTCCTGGGGCCTGGGGAGGGCAAAAAATCTTTTTTTTCTTACTTACCTCTTCGAAATCTTGGTGCGTCTTAATACACCGGTGTGTCTTATAGTCCGAAAAATACGGTAAGTCTTTCCCCATTGATAAGTGAGTGACCTGGTTGTTAAGTGAATCTGGCTTCCCCCATTGACTTGGCTTGCCAGAAGGTCACAAAAGGGGATCACATGACCTCGGGAGACAGCAACGGACGTAAGTATGAACCAGTTGCCAAGCAATCTGAATTTTGATCGCACAATCACGGGGATGCTTCAAAGCTTTGTAACTGTGAAAAACGGTCATAAGTCACTTTTTTCAGTGCCATTGTAACTTCGAACGGTCCCTAAATGATCTGTTGTAAGTCGAGGACTACCTGTATTTTGCTAGGCTTCTTCGTGTACGTGTTCAATATAATTCTACATCAACCTCAGCAGTGCCCAGTAACAACACTAGACAGATGAACTGAATTATTTTCTTTATTTTATCCACCGAATCTATTCATCTCACTGAATAGCCCCCGTGCTTATCTTGTTAACCTTGTTTCGGTTTATTGCACAACGATTCTGCATAAGTGACAAGCCCATATAGGAAAGAGGAAAGAAACTATGGAAGCCTAAATGAATTTGTTAATCCTGGTTAAGGAAACTTGGTTTACCCCTCCCGGTCAGATACAGTGGTACCTCGGCACTCATCATTAATTGTTTCTGGGAGGCACGATGAGCACCAAAATCAATGGCTACTAAACCATTTTTTTCCACAAGGAATAATGTAGTGAGTCCACAAGGCAGCCAGCACCGACAAGTTCTAGCTTGTGCATTGACTACCAAACAAACGATGAGTTCCGGGATCAAAATTTTCACATCAAAATGTGTCGAGTACCAAATTCGATGCGTTTCAAAGCAGTGGAGTACCGAGGTTTCCACTGTACAATTTCCTCCTACGGACATTTATTCCCACTTCATCCATTGACGGAGGAAACAAGGATTACAAATACATCTTCAATCAACGGACGAGTAAATTGGACACTAAGACCATTCAGAACTTAACTCTTCATTCAGACTCCAATAAGTTATTGCTGTCTACCTCTCTTTCCATAGGGGTCTTGTCGTAGCTTGAGTTACACTCCTGAGAGCAGGACATATTAAAAAAAAAAATGGCTGCAGTTGTGTTTACATTATTTTCAGAGCCATAAAACTCATTTAAAACACCTTTGCTCACTGCCGTCGTACACTTTCTTACATCGTGGCCAGCTTTTTGCATCCACATTTGCGATCACCGTGGACAACCGCAGGGCATCCTGGAGATCCTGAAACTAGAATTAATAATCTACACTCACTGTAGACGACCAAGCAGTATTTCTTTCCACACTTTTACGACAGCGTGTGCGACGTGGGCCTAATTGATAACGGCAAAGCTGTGAAAATGAGCTGAGGTATGACCGGAGGCAAACACAGTGGCAGCTACTTGCCAAATGGCCTTTCCTAAGCTTTGCATCCGGTTACTTGCTAAATAGGATTAAAATAGAATAAATAAGCAGCATGAGTTTTATCTCTATGAACCTTTTCAAAGCGAGAGGCCATTATTACGACTCGCAGTGTAGCCGAAACGTGTCCTATTGATGGAAACGAAACCCAGGTTCCTCCAGGGCAAGTCGTATTTAAACGAAACACTTTGAAAAGCAGGCATATCACTCACGCCCTTGTTACCTCCCGGTTGGACTACTGCAATGCTCTTTACATGGGGCTCCCCTTGAAGAGCACTCGGAGGCTCCAACTGGTCCAGAATGCGGCCGCGCGGGTGGTTATGGGCGCAACCCGTTGCGCCCACGTGACACCCCTCCTGCGCGAGCTGCACTGGCTCCCAGTGGTCTTCCGGGTGCGATTCAAGGTGTTGGTTACCACCTTTAAAGCGCTCCATGGCATAGGACCCGGGTATCTTCGAGACCGTCTTCTGCCACCGATAGCCTCCCACCGACCAGTCCGCTCCCACAGAGAGGGTCTCCTCAGGGTGCCATCGGCCAAGTCATGTCGGCTGGCGACACCCAGGGGGAGGGCCTTCTCTGTGGGAGCCCCATCCCTGTGGAATGAACTGCCCCCGGAAATTCGTAAGATTTCTGACCTCCGGGTATTTCGCTGTGCACTCAAGACCCTGTTGTTCCGCCAGGCAGGGCTGTCAATATAATAATTTTAAATTGGGGTATTTTAATTTTTAGGGTTTTAAATTAAGCCAAATTTATTTAATATTTTTAAATTATTTTAAATTGATGTTTATTCTGTTTTTAATTAGGCTGTACACCGCCCTGAGTCCTTCGGGAGAAGGGCGGTATAGAAATAAAATTATTATTATTATTATTATTATATATTCCGGCATTTTATAGATTATGGTTATTTTCAGGCACTAACCATAATTGGTGGTTGTACATCTTCACCGATGGGTTTGCTTTCCTCCTGCGCTCGTATAAAGCTACTCTTGCTTCTTAATTCAGTTAGGGCTGGGGTTTGAGCTGTTTACATCCTGCCGAGTCTGTTGTCATCCTCCGTCTTCCCCAGCGTTGCCCTCTAGTTACGTCTGGAAAACTAGCACGTTTGCAATAAATTATAGAACAATTCTATACGGTCGTCACACTTCATGACCGTCGCAGCATCCCCACGGGTCATGTGATCAAAATTCAGGCTGTTTGTCAACTCTGGCTGCGGCCATTTTGGAGGCTTCGGGGTTTGCCACAATGCGAAGATGGGTTAGGGAGGGGGGGGAAACATAGTTAGAGGGGGGGGGGGGGGTTGTAGCCAAAACAAAATAAGTTTCCTGTGGGAACCAAGGACATTCCAACAGGTGGGTGGAGAGAGGAGGAGCCAGTATCCAGGCAACCAGCCAGCCCCTTGATTGGACAATGTGACGGATTGTTTGGGGAAAGGGGGAAACTTTCACCTTTTAATCGGGTGAAAACCGCGGGCAATTTCAGTGTCGGTTTTAACCAATTTGTGCCAATATGATATCTCCAATAAAATTGTTCTTTGAGGAACATGCCTGCCTCGGACTTTTGCTTTCTATGGAGTTATTACTTGGAATCATGACACTGTATTTATGACATTGCAGTGTCCTGAAGGAGATCACATGACCTCCATTTGTAATATTATATTTTGTTGCCCTATTTAAAGTATCTTGCCCTATAATGTAGTCATGTGAAATCAATTCAACTTGTCCTTATTACCTCTCTTTCCAAAATAATGGAGGCATATATCTAGTTTTCCGATTAAAATTTATGATTCCCCAGACCATCGGCCTTCCAAGAATACGCCTGAAATATTTTAGAACAGCAACAGGAAGGTCCTTGCTCTACAATCTGTTTTTAAGTACAGGCAGTCCTCGGGTTACGACCACAACGGAGCCCAACATTTATGTCGCTAAGTGAAACATTGGTTAAGTGACTTTGTCCCGTTTTACCAACTTTTCTTGCCGTTGTTGTTAAGTGAATTGTGTTCGTTAAGTGAGCAACACGGTTGGTAAGTGAATCTGGATTCCCCACTGATTTTGTCGAGACGGTCGCAAAAGCGGATCAATGTGACTCCGGGACATTGCAACGGTCGTAAATATGAACCACTTGCCAAGCATCTGAATTTTGTTCGTGTGAACCATGGGAATGCTGCAACGGTCGTAAGTGTGAAAAACTGTCGTCACTTTTTTCAGTGCCGTTGTAACTTTGAACGGTCACTAAATGAACTGTTGTAAGTCGAGGACTATCTATGTCTCATATTTTTTTTTTAAAAAAACAAGCTAATCTTACGGGACAATCTGCACTCTCGGGAAAGCTTAGGCAGTAGGCAAACTGGTTTTTAAATTGAAGGATGAGCTCATACCCCACTCCAGTTTGACTAAAGTGACCTGAAAATCATGTTTTAATCCTTTTTTAAAAACTGACCATCCTCTTCCTCCCTCCTTCCCTTCCTGGTGCATTGGCTGCATCAGGATACGCTGATTTCTATGCTCTTCCCACGCCTGGTCTTCTTTATTTTTTTCAGTACTGGCTGTGCACAGACTTACTCGGGTTCTCGTTCCCGTTTCGCATCGATTCTAAAAAGTCAAAATTTTGGTGCAAGAAAAGAATTTGGTCCAGGTTTTCGGGGGCCAGGACGCCTCTCCGGTGCTCCAGCGCACTTTCGCTAGCGGCAAAGGCCTGATCTGGCGGTACAACTGTCGCCGGTATAGCCAAATATTGCCGGGCTAATCGGGCCACCGAGGGGAACCGGTGTTCGTTGCTCTTCCACCAATCCAAGGGGTTAGTGCTACGCTTGCAGAGAGGTTCCACGATGTAGTTCTCCAGCTGTTGATGGATCTCGGGCATGCTTTCCGTAGGGTCTTTTCCCAGAAGGATGTCATACATACTTTGAGATTGTCCACTTGAACCTCTCTCTTTATGAGCCGCCAGCTGGCTGGCTGTTTCGCTAACCTCTGCTTTGTAATCAGAATTGGGTACCCAGAACGGGTTGGTCGGCGGGGTCTGAGGATTGAAGAACTGGGACAACATGGCCTTGACTTTTTTGTGCAACTCGCTCCGTAGACTTGGGTTGAGGAACCTCATTTCCTTAAATCGAGGGTCTAGAAACGACGCGATCACCGCCGGGCTCTCCAGCAACTTCTTTTCCTCCAAAATACCCCAACGTTGGGTTAGCTCCCCTCTGATGTTGTTGACCACCGTTCTGATGATGCCGCTGGCTTCTTCGGACTGCTGTCCAATGGCGGTGACGATACCATGGATACAAGGCATCAGGGAGGAGATGGAGAAGTTCTGCTCTTCTCGCAAGAACGACGTGGCGATCTTCAGCGTCCTCATCACGGGCACCAGGTCCTGCAAGAGCTTCCACTGGTGATCGGCCAGATTCTGGACCACCGAAGGTCCCTTGGGATGTTCCTCCAAAACGGACATGATGGCCCACTTGAGGTCTAGCAGGCACTCGCACATCTCGATGGTGGTTATCCACCGAGCCCCGGTGTCCGTCACCAACTTCAGCTTGGTCTTGTTGATGGCTTCCAGTTTGCTGTTGAGGGAGCAAGTAGCCTTGGCATCTTGCTGGAAGTAACGGACGACGCTTCGAGCCGCGGTCAATGCTTCCTGCACCTGTTCCAACTTGAGGCCGGCCTCAACACAAAGGTGCAGCAGGTGAGCTGCGCAGCACAGGCTGGTCCAGCCGTAGACGCATTTCAGGTGGGACGAATTGGCCTCCAGATTCTGCAGGCTGTCGTGCATCATGCAGAAGACTGATTTGTTGGACAAGCCGAAGTCCGTGAGGACCGTGTACAGCCTATCTCCCAGGCTGCTCTCCTCTTCGTTCTCGTGCACCTGCTGGGTTTCTAGGATGCACCTTGCCCGCCGCCACTCTCCGTCGATAAAATTCGTCACAACTGTCAGGTACCTCTGGTTGGGGTGAGACAGCCAGAACTCGGCACAGATGACAATCGACTGAGCGGTCTGCAAGTAGTGTTCTAGGTGTTGTTTGACGACGTTGTATCGATGCCACAGCATGCTAGAGAGCTGCACAGGAGACGGGAGAACGAAGCTAGGTTCTAAGTAGCCAATGAGAAGGCCAAAGCCTTTGTCTTTCACTACGGAGAGCGGATGCAAGTCCCGAAAGATCATCTCTAGCACCAGTTCCAGAATCACGTCCGTCCTGGGTTCCGTGCAGGTCACCGCGTGGTAGGGATTGTTGTTCTCGGGGGTCAGTTGGCGAGCTCTTTTTATGGCGGTCTCCTGAGCCACGTAGTCAGGGTCCGGCACCTGGTCATCCTTCAGTTGCGAGAGAAGGGTGTCACGGATGCTGTGTTTGCGCACCAGGTGTTCCCTCATGGTGGTGGTGCTGTTGTGGAAGGACAGCTGCTTCTTGCAGACGTTGCATTCTACGTAAGCGTCTCCCAGCTTGGTGTAGTAGTTCCACACTTTGGACTTCCGGCGGTCAACGTAGAGAGACGTGCTGGTCCCGTCGTGGCCATTGCCTTTCTCGCGCCGCCTCCTGGCACAGGGGCCCAGATTGGCTGGCACTGCACAAGTATTGAAAACCATTGAAATCTCCTCTGTCAAAATGGAACAGGAGAGGACATAGTAACCCTCGGGCTTTGTGGTTAATCTCAGCATAATTGAAAATGGGCCACATATCAAAGGACTGGGAAGGGAGAGCTGGGATGGGGGCACCATCGTCAGAAGACGGGGAACGCTTTCAGGAAAGTGTTATTGGGAGGCTACTTGGACCTCATGACAGTTTTTATGTTAGGTGCATTCCCAGTTTTCATGATACAATCACTCTGTCCTTTACAAAGGATGTTGGTTTAATGGTTAAGGGGCTGGCCTAGAAATCAGTATTCTGCTTTAGGCATAAAAGCCAGCTGAATGACTTTGGGCCAATCACCAGGAGACAGGGAATTCTAGTCCCACCTTAGGCATGAAAGCTGGCTGGGTGACTTTGGATCAATCACCAGGAGACGGTGAGTTCTAGTCCTGCCTTAGGCACAAAAGCCGGCTGGGTGACTTTGAACCAATCATCAGGAGATGGTGAGTTCTAGTCCTGCTTTAAACATGAAAGCTGACTGGGTGACTTTGGGCCAATCGCCAGGAAATGGTGAGTTCAAATCCCATTTTAGCCATGAAAGCCAACTGGGTGACTTTGGGCCATTCGCTCTGTCTCTTAGCCCAACTCATCTCATAGAATCATTGTGGGAAAAGTGGGAGGAGGAAAGAGTATTAGGTATGTTTGCCACCTTAATTTACCTATAGTAAAGGCGGGGGGAAAAACCCCTAATCAATAAATAAATACATAAATAAACCTGCTTAAAGAGAGCCACCCAGAGTTGCTGCCTGGGGAATCCTGGGAGTTGAAGTCCACCTGTCTTAAAAGCAGTTAAGGTTGAAAAACACTGTTCTAAGCAGGGTGGATTTGATTTAAATCGAGTTGATTTAAATCACAATTTAAATCATGATTTAAATCACTAGTAAAAAGGCTTGATTTAAATCAACTCGATTTAAATCATAATTTTTAAAGAACAACTGTCATCTCTGCTACTCCTTTGACCCACTGTTGACTCACCGATAGTCCCAGTGTTGCAGAATATACAGCCTCATGCTACATAACTAAACTCCATTTCATGCTGAATAAACTAAATTATTTATGTATCTTAAATAGAAAACTATCTTGCGATAGATTTTTACCCCAAAAGTTTTTTATTAAAATAAATTTGATAAAAATAAAAAAAATCCGATTTAAATAAAAAAAAAATCCGATTTAAATTTTAAAAAATCTGATTTTTTTGATTTCTTTAAAAAAATCATTGATTTTTATCCACCCTGGTTGTTCTAAGTGCAGCGATTTCTGGAGAAATTCCCATACCTTGCACCGTCTGAGGATAGGATGGAGCAAGCAGAGGGAGGTTTTGAACTTCCAAGATCTCCTTGGGGGGAGGCTCCCCTTCGTTGTCCTCAAGCTTGACGCATTTCTGTAAGAAGTCGCTGACCCTTTTGGAGCTCACATCTTCCATTGCGGTCTTATCAAGAGGGGGAGAAACAGGGCAAAACAGGATCAGGAACAACACGTGAATCCGATCTTCATACGTTTTCATATAGAGCAGTGTTTTTTGGCCCCGAGTGCTGAAACAGGGCTTGTTTATTTCAGTTTGGGGCAAACCACTGGCATGTAATCCAGTGCTAGTATAAAAGGTTAAAATATAAAATAATAGAGGTTATTCAATTACATTATATTGGTTTTTACACCCACATTTCATCCCGAAAAAAAATCCTTGTTCTACTTAATGTTCTCACATTGTTGACTACAACTCCCATCACCTAAAACAGCATAGCGTCCAGCTACGGGAGGGGATCTGAAGAAGTCCTTGAAATTATAGTAAAGGACAATTCAGAAATCAGGTTTAATGCAGTGTTTCTCAGCCTTGGTAGCTTGGAAGATGCTTGGACTTCAACTCTCAGAATTCCCCAGCCAGCATTTTATTTATTAAGTCAGCAAAATCAGATATCCTTTTCGTATGTAGACTATTAATAGAACCAAACTGTTTAGAAATTTCTTTGTCCTAGTACTCCAGATTTTTTGGTCTTTTTTTAAAAAAGTCTTATCTATTCAGCATTGCTGGCTTATAACGAATAGATATGTTTAATATGTGTAGTTAATTACACAATTTATTCCATCACTTGTTTCTCGCAATCTCAGAATCGTACACGATTTATTCCATGCAAGCTCGCAGCCCCATATTGCTAGAGCAGCCTTCCCCAAGGTTTTTTTTTACTTTTTACATAAAAGAGATTCCAACCCCCATCATCCTCTAAAGCCATGCTGGTTGGAATGAATGGAAGTTGTAATCCAGCACAACCGGAATGCGTCAGGGTAGGAAAAGCGACGATGCTGTTATCCGTTGCACGCTAGCCCCCGTTATTCCCTCTCCAAAAAATTCTGTATTGCTGCTGCAACCACCTAAGGAGAAAAAAAAAACCTGAATATTGTGCGTGCGCCAACAGCGTACCTGTTCGGGGCAGCAATTTAAAACGAGGAAGCGAATTTGAATGTATTATTTTGTCTGTATGGATTTCTCCTATGACACCGGTTTCCCCGTATCAAATTCATCCGGCAATCGAAGAGATGCTTCAAAACGCACCTCCTCGAATTCGGAGGGAGGCAAGGCGAATTAGGTTTTAATTCCCATCAGAGGCTCACCCCAATCTTGCCAGACATACACACTCACCGGATCCGTCCATCAGGAAAAGCCAAAAGGTTCCTTAGGGACAGGTGAATTTCCTGCTGGAATTCCGCTCTGCCCTTCCCACCATCCTTCCTGTTAAAACATCCCCAAAACGAGTCAAATGCCGCTTTTGGGACCGTGTGAAAGGCAAGGCGAAAGTTTTCACGGAGCCAAGGCAACCTGCTTGGCACCCCAGATTCCTGCCATCCTTAACACGGGAGATAACGGCTGTAAGCAGGGATACTCACTCCTTTGTTATGGTGAGCGGGAGGGCAGCCGCCAGTTCTTTGCGGTCTCACAGCTCCTGGTGCAGCAAAATGGGATTACAGGGCTAACCTTTCTTCGGGGGAAGTGATTCCTGTAGGGCTCCTCTAAAAAGTTCGCAGCAGGGCTAAAAGCGGATTGAGAGGGGTTCCTTCCCTGGGACAACCAGGCTAAAAAAAACCGTTTCTGCCTTTTTATTTTTTTTGAAAGCTTGCCTTCCTCCTGCTTAGCAAGCAACAAAGGATGCCCTTATCTGCCGGAGTTGTTAGAAGCTCCCTTTCAGTGCTTGGAGTGCGATGGCTGCAAAGATTTATTTATTTATTTTGTTACCGTGTTGTTAGTGGTGTTACATGTTTTCCCCTTTCAAGTGTGTCCTCAGCATTTGGGATTTTTGCTACCCGGATGCTGGACTTCCCCTGGCAAAGACGGACTGACCTCAGTCGCTTTCTGGGTTTCCCGCAGAGGAAGAATGCTGAGGACAAGAGCTAACAGATATGAAGAGCGAAGTTGCAGAGTTTGGGTTTGGCTAGTCTACAGAAAAAGAGGATTAGGGTGACATTTGAGGGGTTGCCACAAACAGGAAGGGGGTCAATTTATTCTGCAAAGCACCCGAGGGCAGGACCAGAAACAATGGATGGAAACTAATCGAGGAGAGAAGCAAGCTAGAACCAAGGAGAAACTTCCTAACGGTGAGGACAATTAACCAATGGAACGGCTTGCTGTCAGAAGTTGTAGGTACTCCATCACTGGAGTTTTTTAAAGAAGAGACTGAACAGTCACTTGTCTGAAATGTTATAGGGCAGGTTGAGAAACACTGTTATAGGCTCTTCCTGCTTGAACAGGGGTTGGACTAGAAGACCTCCAAGGTCCCTTCCAGCTTTATTCTGATTGAGTGACAGTATAACCAGAGTTGGAAAGGACCTTGATATTGAAAATGTCCTTGGATTCTCGAGGGGATCGAACAGTGTGCCTTCGCGGAGCAAAGTTTTGCAACAAGCACGCATTGTATGGAGAAATGCACTTTTTAATCAGATTAAACCTACGATTTATTTCACCACCATTCTTGTCTTTTAAGAGAGCCACTTGGGTGTAGTGCAGGGGTGAAATCCAGCAGATTCTGACAGGTTCGGGAGAACCGGGAGCGGAAATTTTGAGTAGTTCGGAGAACCGGCAAATACCACCTTCTGGCGGGCCCCAGAGTGGGGTGGGAATGGAGATTTTGCAGTATCCTTCTGCCACGCCCACCAAGCCACACCCACAGAACCGGTAGTAAAAAAAATTGAATTTCACCAATTCAATGTGAAGTGGTTAAAAGCAGCACCAGACTAATAATTCGGAAAAACGGACGTTGGGATTCTGGTTTCCTCTCTCCCCCCCCCCCCCCCCCCCCCAGATCTAGAAGATCCTGAGATGGGCACACAATCCTTTAACTGGAGCGAATCAAGAAATTTGCAATTTTGCAAATTTGGCACATTTGCAAAATGTGCTTTTCCTTTCCCCTGATTTTTCAAGCAACCCAGATCTTCCCCCGGCTGGGTGCACCAAGAGGAAGGCATTAAACAGTTAACTGGCCTACTACAACACCCATCATCCATAACCAACCAGGCTGCGGATCATGGGCAACTTGGGAGGACCAAAAACCGAAGCGCGCCTTGGAAAAGTCCGCAGTTCCAGTTTTACCTTTGAGCGAAGCATTGGATTTCAACTCCCTACCACTACCACCATCCCCCCCCCCCCCCAAATTAAAAAAAAGTGTTACACCCCCCACCCCCCCCCCCCCCCCCCCCCCCCCGCAAATTAAAAAAAATGGTACAGCCCAACTCCCCCTCTCCTGGACATCTCTACCTCCCTTGCGGCGGTGGACTTCGCCGGCCTCACGTGACTCTGGTGAGTCAGCACGGCCTTGGGTCACGTGAGGGAGACTCCAGCGGTGGGTGGGCGTGCGTGCGTCGGCGGCCCAGAGGGCGCGGCTTAGGTCACGCGCCGGCGGGGTGGGGGCGGGAATTACAAGCCGCCGCCGCCGCCCATTGGCTGTGCGTGCCGACGTGGAAGCGTCAGGCGACGTCTCTTCTTTCCCCTCAGCCTGAAGGGAGAGCGACCGCCGTGAGGGGAGACAGTTACGCTCGTCCGTCCGGCCTCTTTTTTTTTTTCCTCCCCTTTTCCCCCTCAGCTTCGGCTTCTTCGCGGGGCGCGGGCCCGTTCTCCGCCGGCCATGGCGATGGACACCAGCGGCAAGGAGAAGGAGGCGCTGCAGCTGCTCGCCGAGGCGGATAAGAAAGTCCGCGGCTCCCACGGCTTCTTCTCGGGGCTCTTCGGGTAAGGCCCAGCGCCGGGCGGCCTGTCAGGCGAAGAACCGACGGCACGGGCGGACGGAGGGAGGGAGGGCCGAAGCGGACCGGCCTCTCCCGCCGTGAGGGGCCCCCGGAGGCCTTTTTGCCCCTCCGGCCGAAACTGTCAGGCGGGTCCTCGGTCTCTCCTGGATTGAGGGCCTTGCTGCTTTGGCGGCGCTTCCTTTCCTTTCGGCCGATTTTCGCGTTGGGGTTTTTGAGGGGCAGGAAACGGTTTTTAGGACGACTCTGGTGGGGGTAGTCCTCGACTTACGACCACAAGTGGACCCCCCCCTCGGGGGGGGCCTCCCTCAAAATTTAGGGGGCCGGTTTTATTAAGGGAGTTTTGTCCCCGTTTTCAGAGAACCGGCAAATACCACCTCTGGGTGGCCCCAGGAGTGGGGAGGGAATGGAGATTTTGCAATATCCTTCCCTCAGGAGTGAGGAGGGAATGGGGATTTATTGATTGATTGATTGATTGATTGGTTCGATTTATATGCCACCCTTCTCCAGAGACTCAGGGCGGTTTACAATGCGTTAAGCAATAGCCTTCATACTTTTGTATATACCTGTTTAGTAGGGCTTTTGCCCCCCCCAAGCGGTGTTTTTTTTTTTATACAAAATCAGCTTATTGCCCCCACAAACTGGGTCCTCATTTTACCTACCTCGAAAGGATGGAAGGCTGAGTCAACCTTGAGCCTGGTGGGATTCGAACTCACAGTAATTGCAGGCAGCTGGCAGCTAAGTGCTACTTTAACAGCAGTTTAGTCTGCTGCTCCACCAAGGCTCCTTCGCCACCGTTTTTAAGTGAATCGCCGCAGTTGGTTAAGAATGCAGTTCGGTGGGTCTGGTTTTCCCGCATGGACTTTGAGCTGGTCAGAAGGTCGCAAAAAAAAAAAAAAAAAAAAAAAGAGGCTCGGGTAACCATGGGGACACTCACTGCAAACCCCCCTAAGTACATTTTAGTTGCCCGAGTGTGCGAATTTTGATCATGTGACCTTAGGGATTTTGCAAATTGTCATCAGTGTCGAAAATGGCCAAACGTCACTTTTTTTCACTGATGTCACTTTGAGCCGTCACTAAATGAACTGTTGTAAGTCGGGGACGATCTGTACTTTCAGCTCGTCCTGTGCTTTCATGAAGTTTCAGACTCAGAGAAGGATAGGGTTTGGAAGGGACCTTGGGGGTCTTCTAGTCCTACCCCTCTGCCCAAGGCAGGAGACCCTCAAACATGTATTCTATGAAAAAAAAAATCCTAGTTTAACCACAATAATGGATAGACTTATTGACCTTTGGGGGAGCCATATTCTAGGGAAAAACCTTGTTCTTAAAATGCTAGAATGAATTGCCCCTTTTGCCGGTCTCAAATAAAGACATTCCACTCACACACCAAAAATCCCCAGAGTTGTGTTGCCTTAAGCATCTCAGTAGTGGCTGCCCCAAAGTGGCAAACAAGTAATTACAAATTACCCACATAGAAGGGAATATTTGTAACTCCAGGTTGAACTGTGGTGTCCTTGGTGCTCTCTGAGCTTGGTGGTTTTCTTGCAGATGTTTCATTACCAAACTAACTACCATCATCAAGTTATATTAAATAAGTTATATTAAATAAATCATCACTGGTGGAAAAAGGTGGGGATTGTGGAGAGGAGGAGGACTTGTAGGGTCCTTGGTGCTCTCTGAGCTTGGTGGTTTTCATCATCATCAATGCCAAAAGGGAGTGGGGATTGTGGAGGAGAGGAGAAGGAGGACAACTGTGGGATCCTTGGTTGTTTTCTTGCAGACAGTTCATTACCAGGTATCATCTAGGTACCATCATCAGTGCTGGAAGGGAATGGGGATTTTGGAAGATTGGAGAAGGTGGACTAGGACTGTGGGGTCCTTGGTTTTCCCTGAACTTCTTCAGTGCCAAAAGGGAGTGGGAGGAGGAGGAGGACACTGGAGTTTTTGGTGCTCTCTGAGTTTGGTTGTTTTCTTGCAGACATTTCATGACCCAGCAAGGGAACATCATCAGTGCTAGTAGGAGTGGGCTTTGCCCTCTATTTGATTTGACATAGTTGTTCACATTTGGGGGCTTATACTGATCTAGAAAAGATGCTGAATGATGATAAAGTACCCAATCAACAACTGTCTGAAAATGTGTGGGCAAGACTGCCAGGAACTCAAAAAAGTTATAAAGTATGCGTCTTAGTAATATGGTGCTAGTGGATTTTTGTTTTACTATTAAGATAGTAGAAATATAATTGTTAAAAAATTAGAGCAGGCAGCAGGGCTAAGCACTGCAGAACAGCTAGTCTCTCCTGATTTAATGCACTATTCTTATTTGAAACCCAGTATAAAAAAATGAGCAGATTTTGCCTGGTTGGCAAAACAGGATTGAAAGAGGTCATAAAGAGGATAGATTTCCTATGCTAATTTAATCTTAAGTAATGACAGAGCTTTGAATGATGTTATTAGAGGACAACAGTGTGGTTTGTCATTCATTGTTCTGCCTTCATGAATTTTCATTTGACTAAAATTAAAATTCTGCTGAGCTCTGCAGGCAGTCCTCAGGTTATGAGCGCAATTGGGACCAAAATTTCTAGTGCTAAATGATATAGTTGTAAAGTCTAACCTCATGTGACTACTCCAGTTAGTGACATCGGTCCTGGTTGCCATCATAATTACAGGACCATGTGGATCGTTAAGTGGGAAGAGATGGGAGCCCCAGGCAAGGGGAGTGGAGGGTGCTTTTGGCACTAGGAAGTATAAGGGTCAGGCGAGCGCTGCATGCATATGCTAGGGAATGCAGGTGAGCCTGCAGAGGGGGTGGTAGGTTCTAGGGCAGGGATGTCAAACTGGCAGCCTGTGGGCCAGATGTGTCACATGCAGGCCTCGCCCACCCCAGCTCCGTGAAGGCAAAAATGTTGTGATATGTCAGATGACATCAACATGACGCGGGCGAGTTTGACACCCATGCTCTAGTGAGTATGAGCTGGCTGGTTTTTTTTTTTTTTTAATTTGATTTATATGCCGCCCTTCTCCAGAGACTCAGGGCGGCTTACAATGTGTTAAGCAATAGCCTTCATACTTTTGTATATTTATACAAAGTCAGCTTATTGCCCCCACAACTGGGTCCTCATTTAACCTACCTTAGAAAGGATGGAAGGCTGAGTCAACGTTGAGCCTGGTAAGATTCAAACCTGCAGAAATTTATTTATTTATTTGTTTGTTTGTTTCAATTTCTATACCGCCCTTCTCCAATTAGGACTCAGGGCGGTGAACAGCCAAAGTAAAAAACAGGAAGTAAAAAATTGCAGGCAGCTGTGTTAATAACAGGGTGCATTAAACCACTGTACTACCAAGGCTCTGTTGAGGGCTGTTGAGGTGGGGGTGCTGCAGACAGACACTTGCTAGTGGACAGGAGTCCTCTTGAGAAAAAGTGGTGGCAGCAACTTACGGGAATGACTTGTAGCTTTCCCTGCTGGCTTTCCCATTGACTTTTCTTGTGGGAAGACATCAAGGAAGGTCACAAATGGTGATCATGTGATCATGAGTGGCTGCAACCGCCATAAGTGTGAGCCAGTTGCCCAGCACTTGTATCGTCATGATCATGTAACTACGAGGACACCGCAGTAATTGGAACTTTGAGGACCAGTTGCAGCTACTGCTCAGTCAGGGCTGTCATAACTTGCAGTGGTTGCTGAATGAGTAGTTGTAAGTCAAGGACTACCTGTAGTGTTAGAAGCTTTCAGATCCGAGTAAGTTAGACACACTCAAGACTTGCATGGATCCAGCTTATCTTCCCAGAAGGAAATTCTGCAAAGTATTCAAGGGATTGTTTACAAGCAAGTGAGGCACATTACATTGTATTTATTCATTAAATTTATCTACCGCCCATCTCCCCAATAGGATGACTCTGGGCGGCATAGTAGAACACAAAATTAGTCCTCAGCTTACAAAATTGAGCCAACGAAAGTCCCATTGCATTTCAGAAAGAACTGGAGAATGAAATGCACACATACTACAATGAGTTTTCATACAGTGTGCGGTCTAGTGCAGAAGTCAAGTTTAGAATAGATGTTACGGTAGATATCTTAACCAAGTCACTGAGGTTAATAGTTGCTCCATGCCAAAAGTAGGTCAGTTAAGTGGGGCAAAATATTTCCCAACCAATTGCTTAAGGTTTATTTCTTCATGCACCCGAGTAATGTCTCTAGTTCAGGAGAAATTGTTTTTTTTCCCCGCGAGTGGAAGAGCAATAGTTTGATCTGCAATTTTTTTAAGGCTATATGGGAGCCTTAATATGGCAATTATGCAACCAACTGTTGCCAGGTGGGAGATGGGCAAAGAGAGAATGGAGAGTATATGATAAAGGTTGATTCCTTGTATTATATATATAATGTCAGTCTGGGACTTGAAAGATGGGACACACTTCTGCAGCAGGACATTGGTGTTTATTTTTTCTTCACAGGCTGTGAATAAAAGCCTGGTGTGACAATAATTGTAGATTAGTTTCCATCTTATTGCCAGCATTGATGGTGTATGTTACCTGGAAGAAGGTAGAGAAGCTGTGATAGATTATAAAGATTCCAGATTCTTCCTGTGCAAACAATAATGATGTCACCTAGCTGTTTTTGTGCTAGGTTTGCTGGGAATAATTATGTGTGTAGAGGCAATTAGGGGGTCACACACTGGTAGTAACTGGGTGGGATTTGTGTAGAGCAATACTTAAATTCACAAATCTCTACTCCCAGAAAAAAAAACTATGGAAATACTGTGAAAGGAAGCCGTTGAAATTATCTACCTCATAGCAAAATGCAATTCCCAGGATAAGAGCTCTGACTGCTAAATTGGTCGAGGTTTGTGGTCCAGTCAAACTTACTCTAGATTCCTTCTGTCCATTACAAAAATAGTAATGTCCCAAGAGACAATTTCCATAGCATGTACAGCAAATGCCAACTATGTACTGTAAATTGGAATGTGTTGATTTTAAAGGACTTAAGAATGCAAGCTTGATTAAATGAGGCCAGCTGATGCATTGTGTGGGTTAAAATGTTTGTCTATTACACTCATTTATTTTGTTTTCATGCCACTGACTGGCTAGTATAAGGCAGTACATAAATCCCTTCCATGTTAAACATGTCCTTGGCTTCAGAAAAGATAGCATGTTTTTTTCTTTGTTAAGAGAAGGTCCTCTTAACTATTTGGCAGGCAGCATTTTGGATTACTTTAAGACATTCTCCTTAGTTACAAGGATAAAATGTTGTACAGAATTGTAGTCTGACAAAACATTTTGGCTTCCTAGCATTTAGCGTATATGTTGGATATACAATGACCCGCCTTTTTTTTAGCTCTGTTGTCCAAAATTTTCAGAGTTTTAAAATTTGAAATAATTCTTTGCATCCAGTCCTGTGAATTGTTCCCAGGCCAGCATACTCCATGTATCTTGGGCAACAGTTAAAATATTTTCTGGAATTTATCACTCATGTCTCTGAGCTAAGCCGTGACTGACAACTCAACTTTCCTTAGAGGCTGCAAGCTTTCCAACCACTATGGCTTGGAAATCTCCCAAATTGGATTCTGTACATTTTTCAGAACTGACTGAAGAAATTTAACATCTCAAAATACATGCATTGAGATATTATTTCTATGCTCCTCGGCCCCTTTAGTTTGGCCCCTTCCTTTCTGTTCTCATGTTTCAAGAGAACATTAACTAAAAATACTTTCTTTTCCTGGGTTTTATTTGGTTGAAACTCTGGCATTTGGCAAAGTCTGACTGCCATCTGTAAGTGATTCTCGAAGAAAATGAATTGTAGGTTTCTAGTGACAGAGCAGGGAAATTACTTTCTGGAAGGGAATATGCTGGAACCGTAAGACAAAATTTAAGCTTTCTGCAAACTGGTGGTATTAGAGCAGAGCTGGCATAACCAGGTGCAACATTTTGTGGCAGATATGATGTGTGTTTTCTGGAAAACATGGATCAACTATTTTTCCTGAGCTCCAGCCTTGAGGTCTGGTTTAATATGTTTAACTGTAGTGGGCATAGTTAAAGCATTAGTGCTTTTAAGTTGTATGTTTTAAAAGTCTCAGTAGCCGATGCTATTTGAACTGAAACACTAAAATCCAATAAACTACAAGTTGTGTGACTTGATTATGCTATAAATCTAAAGGTCCATTTTTTAATATTTATGTTGGAGTCTGTATTCAGTAATTCAGTAGTACACAAGACGTCTCATTTATTTCTAAGGGGGGGAAAAAGGAAGACTTGGTGTTTCCAAAAGTTTGTGCTTTAGTATTTTCTAAGTATTAATTGAAAGTGAAATGCAGATTTAATTTACCAAAGGCATATACTTTAGACAACAATCATTTTGTTCATAAATCCTATTACTATCTGGATTGAAATAAAGCTATACTTGCCTTTCCTTTGATTCATGTTCCTTGTTGTGAAATACACAATCTGTATTTGGAGCCCCTACGGCCATGCCATTATTTAATTGCATGCGGAGTTTTCGTTAGAATTATGTGGCTAATAGTAGACTCTTATTCAAAAAGGTGTAAACATGTAGATGTTTATACACAAACAAAGAAAGAATATTCTTTAGTTATACTTGTATATTTAAAATATAAAATATACTTGTACATTCTTTTGTTTGCCAACATATTAAGCACTACAACTGTTGGACATTCAATATGGAGAAAGGGAGGGTTTTTTAAGATGCTTCTTGTGAAGCACCAGGGAAATCAGAAGATCCGGGCAGTTCAAATGGATATAGAGATTTATTGCAAGTTAAAGCTCTCTACAAGAATCCAAACTACTAACAGTCAAAGCAAATTGGTGGTAGATAGGAGTCAATGGAATTCAAGGTGGGCTGGACTTAGATGCCTTATGGGCACGAAGGGACTCGTGACTGATGACCCGTTTGACCCCTCCCTCTGGCTCATGATTCTACCTGCTCTCTGCTGATGTACCATGTTCTTTTCCTCCCTAGAGGTGGCTCCTCCAGGACTGAAGAAGCATGTGATATCTATGCCAGAGCGGCTAATATGTTCAAAATGGCCAAGAACTGGAGTGGTATGTAACCTATCTGATCCTGTGTCCCATACTGTGGTGTATTTGGCTTGCTAAGATATACGTACCTCACTTCGTCGGCTGATAGATCATCCTCATAAAGAGGCACGTTCCTCAGCCCGAGTTGCTGGAAGTACTTGACCAGCCTTAGAGAACCAGGAAGGGCTGGACAAGTGCTGTTCCGGCTAGTTTCATGGAACAGTGACTAATATTCACATTGGCTGTGGAATTGCCACTGCCCAAAGCTATGGAGGTGCTGCAGTTTTAAGTATGAGCTCTACAAGCAATGGGTATACCCTAAGATTTGATAGCAATGATGACAAAGTGACTAAGATTGTACATTCCAAGCATTTTTCTTCCTATTACCCTTTTGTTTCTAGCTGAGGAGGATAAAGCACAAACTCTTCAGAATTTAGCCCTGGTTTTGAACTTTTAATTTACAGATTAAGAAGCCCCTAGCCTTTCATTCCCCCTCCCCCTCCCTTGACTCTTTTCTTTCTCTCGTAGCTGCTGGGAACGCTTTCTGTCAGGCTGCTCAGCTCCATCTCCAGCTGCAGAACAAGCATGACGCAGCTATGAGCTTTGTGGACGCCGGTAATGCTTTCAAAAAGGCTGATCCTCAAGGTAAGTAAAAGGGGGTAAGGTCCTCCTGCGGCCTTAGCAGAATAAGATAGGATTACCCCTCGGGGCATGAGGATGATCCGTTCCTATCTCCCATCATGTCCACTAAACCTATGCAAACCAGTTTAATCTACAGCAGGGGTGTCAAACTCTATTTCTTTTGGGGCCATTTCAGGGTTGTGTTTGACCTCGCGTGGGCCGGGGTTGGCGTGGCCAGCTCGACATCCCTCATGTCGGGGGCTCAGGTGGTGGCCCGAGCGCTCTGCCAGCGAAAACGCTCTGCCATTGAGCTCTGTTTTCAGCTGCGATGGCCTCCTGCAGCCCTCTGCCAGCGAAAACAGAGCTTGGGAGGGCCGTGCACTACCCTCCTGAGCTCTGTTTTTGCTTGGTAGAGGCACCGTGGGCCAGTCCTTTGCTGTTTCCAGGGCGGCCCCACGGGCCAGATCTAAGCACCCTGCAGGATGAATCCAGCCCCTGGGCCTTGAGTTTGACACCCCTGATCTACAGTATGTAAGTTTCCATCATGCAGTGTATCCAACAATGCTTTAGGCTTCAACAAATATATATTTCCTTTCCCCAAAAAAAGTAAATCAACATAGCTCTTGACTTATTGATAGTTATTCCCCTTTTGGTCATTTCGAGCATGACTAGAAGGAGGAAGACAAGAACTGAACTAAGCAACGGCTTCAGGGGCCAAGTCACACATGACCCTGCCATCCAGATGTGCAGCACCTTCTCCTGTTGTTAAGTCATTTCCGTGGCCTATGGAAATAGCTTCAAGGCCCTGGCTTCTCTTGAGAGACTGTTAATCATAGTTTCCTGGTTCAGCTCAAATAAGAAAATATGAGTAATTAGATTCTGGTTAAATACATCATAGGGGATGAAAAGATTTTGAGTATCCAGGATCCTCAGTATTCTCTGAGGCTGGTTTTTGGTTGTAGACATTTCATGACCCAACTAGGGAACATCATCAGTAGTAGCATAATCACGTAGCATTGATGATGTTCCCTAGTTGGGTCATGAAATGTCTGCAAGAAAACCACCAAGCTCAGAGAACACCAAGGACCTCACAGTTTAGCCCTAAACTACAATTATTCTCTACTTCTGAGTATTTGCTTTATTAATCCGATGACATTAGTGGACTACACTTTGCCTCTTAATGCTTAACCAACTTGATCTGCCTTTAAACTGGCCATCAAGCTGCAGGTTGCTAGTATGCCAAAGAGCAAAAACTCGCCAGCTCACCTCCTGTCAGGATATACAGAGATACCTTCCTTTAGGTGCAGTGTTGCAGTTTAACAACACTGCCTGATTCTAATCCATGAATGCACACTTCATTTTAATGCCTTACTGTTTAAGTTTAGGAAGGCTTGCCCAGAAGTCATCTTTTTGTGTAGCTTAGAGTAAATCCGAGCTTTGCATTATGAATTTGCTCTTCCTCCCCCACCCACCCCGAGCCTTTGTGATTAGGAGAGGATTACAAGGAAGATTTTACTTTTTTGTTTTGTTTTGCTTTGGTCTCTCTTGAATGCATCTCTGGCAACATCTAAATGACCCACAATTTGTCTCGGGCACGGCTTCTTGCTTTTGAGTCTATTTCTAGGACGAGAAATCCTTTTTTTTGCACCTTGTTGCTAGCATTAACAACTAGCTTTGTTGTTAATGAGAAAACGGCGAGCAATTGAATCAAGAGATCTGTTTTCGGTAGCTACCGTGGCTCAGACAATAGTTTGGAAAGATGAAAACGTTACTTGAGGAGAAAACACGTTTAATCCTCACCGGGGATTTGTTTAATCTTTTTGAAGACTTGGAAGCTGATTATCGGCTATGAGAGGAGGCAGAGTGCTGGCTGTCGCACCCCCTGGCCACACCCACCCAGCGTGTCATTAGGGCAGAGAACCGGTTGTTAAATTATTTGAAAATTATTTGAATCCCTGCACTGCTTTGAGGCGTTGAAAAAATCCCTCTCTTGAGCAGGAAATAGTGGGACATGGAAACTTTCTCCTGCTTATAATTTGATTTAAAAAATGCTTGGAATAATGCCAGTCTATATAAGAGGAAATATAGGTCTTTTGAGGCTCTCCCTGTATCGCCCAAGAAGAGCAGTGGGTGTCTACTAAAAGTATTTTTTTTCCTGTGGTGCTTCTTGCTTTGATATTTTGGCATTAGGTGCAACTTTTTGTTTTTTCAGGCTATTTTAAATATATTTAAATATATATTATATATTATATATATATAATTCTCCTGCTGCCTGACTCCCAGCTACATGGCTAACCCTGATAATAAATAACGATAAGCTTGAGTTAGCCAAGGTAACTATTGTCTCCTATTTGGAGCAAGCATCCCTTCAAAACAGAAGGGCTAGGGAAGGGTTATTTCTAAAAGCTGGACCTGAGGTCGCCCAATTCCCTGCCATATCAGTACAGATAGTCCTCGACTTACGACCACAACTGAGGCCAGAATTTGTTCAATGAGACATTTAAGAGGGTTTTGCCCCATTTTACGACCTTTCTTGCCTCTGTTGTTAAGTGAGTCACTGCAGTTAAGTTAGTAGCACACTTGTTAAGTGAATCTGGCTGCCCCGTTGACTTTGTTTGTCAGAAGGTTGCCAAAGGGAAATCATGTGACCCGGGGACATTGCAACCGTCCCAAGATCATGGGGATGCTGCAGAAATTGTAACTGTAACAAAACGGCCATAGGTCACTTTTTTCCCCAGTGCCATTGTTATTTTGAACGGTCACTAAACGAACTGTTGTAAATCGGGGACTACCTGTCCAGGTGTTTTTAGAGGTTCAGTGTTGCAGTTCTTCAAACAGCCACATGATGGCAGCATTGGAACCCTTCCTAGGGTTGCTTATCCTTGGCAGTTCCGTCTGTCCCTAATGCCAGGACTGTGCCCAGCTGTTTGTCCTGTTCTCACTTCAGGAAGAATGCCACGCAGAAAAGTCCCTTCCGTTCTCGAGATACTCTGTCCCAGTTCCAAGAAGAACTCAGCAGTTTTTTTTTTCCTTAAGTGCTTATTTATCTCATCCAAGAAAAGAAATATGCTATAAATATTCCTGCCTTCTGTTCCTTTCAGGGAGGTTTAGCGAGAGCTGCATTGATGAATGGCTTCGTTTCTTCACGTTACTGTATTTAAAATGGCTTACTTTGTGTGTGTGTGTTTTTTTTTAATAGAGGCCATTAATTGTCTCCTCAGAGCTATTGAGATCTACACAGACATGGTAAGCTGCTTATATAATTCAGAAGCTCCCTTCTTACTTAAAAACGGGGAATATTTTATGCTTGAAAAAAGCATTCACTTGGCAAATCCACATAGAGGATGGCTTTTCACAAGTTCCGGGCTGGATTTTTTTAGACATGGCTCCCAAGTAAGGAACCACACAAATGGTGTGTGTGTCTGTGTGGGGCGGGTTGTCTGGCTAACACACAAATTGCGTAGTAGTACTGTCATAATGCTGACAAAGGTTTGTGCATCGGAATTTCCCATAGATGAAATAAACATCCCCATTAGAGGTAGAAGGCACTTTGTGCTTCTTGCTACAGAATTGCAGTAAACTACAGATAGTCCTTGAGTTATGACCACAGTCAGGTCCAGAAATTCTGTGGCTAAGCAAAGTGATCGTTAAATAAGCCATGCCTAATTTTATGACCTTTATAGAATCTGGAGGTTCAGGATAATTTCCTGATTTCAGCATAGCTGAGGAGGATCACCCATGGATGAGCACTGCCTTGGGTGGGACACAGACATCCAGGTATCCCCAAAAGTTGGTTTCTAATTCATTCTACTTCTCTGGGCTTTCTTTTTCAGGGACGTTTCACCATTGCAGCTAAGCACCATATAACCATAGCTGAGATCTACGAGTCTGAGCTGGTGGACATTGAAAAGGTACGGCGAGCAGGCGGGTCATGTAGACCCTGTCTCAACAAGCTTGCTTACAGTGGTCGTGTCCAACTCTTTGCGACCCTAGGGATGTTACCACGCCAGGCCCCACTGTCCTTCCCTGTCTCCCTGAGTCTACGATGGTGTGCTCTTTATTCATTCAATTAGGCCGTCCCTCTCACTGTAACAGTGAATCTGGCGGCTTTACCCTGAGATTGTGGGAGCTTTGGAAAAGTTCATTTTTCAAAGGATTTAGTTGGCGAATGGGCAGAAAAGGGGAATTGATGGGCTCCAGGAATTAGGTTTAGTGCTTTATTAAACCAGTTTGTAGTCAGAGTTACAGTCGGAACTAAAAGTTCATTTGGAAGTTTTGGACAACTTTTGACTGGAAAGACGAGAGGATCGTGTCTCCCATTGCAAATGACCTAAGTACAATTAACTGCCAAAATGGAGAAAGGCTTGGAGTCTTTAAACAGAATACAATATTATATATAGATATAGATATAGAGACACCACCCTGCCAACAAAAGTGCGTATAGTCAAGGCTATGGTGATCCCAGTTGCAATGTATGGCTGTGGAAGTTGGACTATAAGGAAGGCTGAGCACTGAAGAATTGAGGCCTTTGAACTCTGGTGCTGGAGAAGACTCCTGCGAGTCCCTTGGACTGCAAGGCAATCCAACCGGTCGGTCCTAGAAGAGATCAACCCTGACTGCTCTTTAGAAGGCCAGATCCTGAAGAGGAAACTCAAATACTTTGGCCACCTAATGAAAAGGAAGGACTTACTGGAGAAGAGCCTCATGCTGGGAAGGATTGAGGGCAAAAGAAAAAGAGGACGACAGAGAACGAGGTGGCTGGATGGAGTCAGTGAAGCAGTCGGCGTGAGTTCCAGAGGATGATACTCCAGAGGATGGTAGAGGACAGGAAGGCCTGGAGGAACGTAGTCCATGGGTTCGCAATGGGTCAGACACGACTTCGCAACTAACAACAACAATAACAAGTATTGGCCAAGTGTAATTAGACACAGAAGAATTTTGTCTCTGATGCATGAGCTCTCCGTGTACATGCTAACAACAAAGTAATATAATCATGAGATACCAATAGGAGACGGTAGTAGAAAAGATGAGAAGGGTAATAGTAACACAGCCCTACTGCCTGGGTAAATATCTTTAGGGATAAGACAGTACTGTGAGAAGTTGGTGTTCAGCAGAGGGAAAAAACTCTTTGTGACTAGTAGCTTTGGCATGCAAGGCCCTATTGTGTAAGGAATACTGGCTATTTATGAACTCCTTGGCAGAATCTGCTAAGATCTTACAGGGAAAAAGTCTATGTATGCGTGTGTACTTTTGGTCTCAACTCAAGCCACATATATGTTCAGTTTTCTTTCCATTTCCCTTTTTTCTTCCTTTCCAGGCAATAGCTCATTACGAACAAGCTGCCGATTACTATAAAGGTGAAGAATCCAACAGGTAATTCAAGCATTCCTGTTTCCATTTCTGCTCTGGGCTGCTTTATGATGGTTCCGTTCCTGTTTGTCAGAAAACAGACTGGTTTAAAAGGATCAAAGCTGGATGGACAGCCTATCTGTTTTGGAAATGGCCAGAGGATTTTTGTGTTCCAGTGATGGCTAATGTAATATTTCAAGCTGACCTTGTGATTCAGCTCCCTGAAGCAAAGTTGAAGCAATATTTCATCATAGCTGTGCTTTGGGGGATATGAAAGCAATGAGAATGTGGTTCTGGCTTGACTGGTACTTCATGTTTTCATGAGTTTCTCTGATTTAAAAGCTTACGCTACTAATCCAGCCTTATTTTGACCTCATATTAGACCTTTTTTTTTTTTTGCTTTCTTCATGTGAATGGCTGCCGCAGGTTTGAAATATAGTTCTCTATAAACTTAGACCAAAATGACTTGGTCTGTTTTGGAGCAGTGGTGGAGATTTGGAATCTGCCCCAGATGAGTAAATTTGCATCAAAGGATTTTCCTAGAGCTGTGGTGGTGCAGTGGTTAGAATGCAGCATCGCAAGCTAGTTCTGCCAACTGCCAGCAGTTCAATCCTGACCGGTTCAAGGTTGACTCGGCCTTCCAAGATCAGTAACAGGAGGACCCAGATTGCTGGGGGCAAGAGGCTGACTCTGTAAACCGCTTAGAGAGGGCTGTAAAAGTGCTGTGAAGCAGTCTATAAAACTTAAGCGCTGTTGCTGTTCCTATTGCTATAGGAGCTGTGGGCAAAATTATCAGTGCTTGATTGGTGCCTCAGGCACACATTATCTCTGGAATCAGAACGAGCAGCTTCATCACTCTCAGAAATTTCTACACCACTCCTCTCACCTAAGTGACTCTGGGCATTTTACAACAAATTAATGAAAGCCATATAAACACACGAATAAAAAAAGCATAGTTTAAGAACAGGGTTAAAACAAGTTAAAGCAAGCCGAAATGAATCAGGTTAAAAAGTTCAACAGCTAGGAGGCTAACAAGGCGGTGGGAGTGACTTCAGGCTATCAGCCATCCAAGGTGGCATCATACTTTTCATAATTCTTTACACCCAGGGTCCAACTCCTTATAAGTTATCTAGTCTGAATGGATTATTCTGATTTTAGTTACCATGGAGAAAGGATTTATTGCTTAGGCAGCAACTTCAAGACCTAAGAAGTCAGAAATGCATCTGAGGCTAGTCCTCGAGTTCAAAAAGATCTTGGCTCCTGGGGAAAGCAGAGAGCCTGGTTGTTAGGAGCACTTTCTGGAAATCTTCATTATAGACACGTTATCTCAATGCTTGCCTTGGAGAGGTACAGTTCTACTCTTAAGTCTCTCTAGACTAGGAAAAGAAGCCTTGGGGGAAAATGCAATCCCAACTGTCTCCCATTCAGGCTACTTTTTAAAACTCATATTTGCATTTTGCATCTCGGCTGGTTAGGGTGTCTTGGGGTCCACAGATGTTGCCCAGGTGGGCATGATGGAGGCTGGGATGGCAGGTGGGGAAGAGGAGTTGCTGGTCTTCTCGTGTCCAGTTGCCTCCAATCCTTTTTTTTCCCTTTTCTTTTCTTCCTGCAGCTCTGCCAACAAATGTTTGCTGAAAGTGGCCACTTATGCAGCTCAGCTGGAGCAGTACCAGAAAGCTATTGAAATCTATGAGCAGGTCCAGTTGCTTCTGTTCTTTTTCCCCTCCTTCCGTTGAACCCTCGTAAAACTGCACCTCTTTAACATACCGAATCACAATAGAGGTGTGAAAACAAAAATCTACCAGGGCTGAGATTTGCCAGTTTTAATTGGGGGGGGGGGCAGTTGGAATTTTATGTTAAGAGAAACAGGGATGCTGCTTCTGTGGATTTTACAAATTTATTGTGACTAGTTCTGTTTTTGCTAAATGTCAGATAATTCATGAGTTTGCTCATTTATAAGGCTACCCAGCTCAACACTGACTCTGAAGAATGTATACATTAAAGCACAAGCGCAAGAATAAGCATAATAGCAGAGGAACATACATACTCCATAACCCAGGAAGTCCGTGCCAAATGGACACATACCAAACTTGCCTCAAGAACTTGGGGGAGAAACTATTTTCATGGTTTGTTTCAATAGAAGAGAATATTTGTAGCTCAGGATTGAACTGGGGGGTCCTTGGTGCTCTCTGAGCTTGGTGGTTTTCTTACAGATGTTTCCTGAGCCAACTAGGTAACATCATCAGTGCTAAAAAGGAGTGGGGTTCATAAACCGCAAACTCCACTCCCTTCTAGCACTGATTAAGTTACCTAGTTGGCTCAGGAAACGTCTGCAAGAAAACAACAAAACTCAAGAGAGCACCAAGATTTTTATTTGTTTAAAGGATTGCAAGATTGGGGCTCCAAGGCACAATTCGGAACATGGTGTGCTCCTGCCTTCTCTCTGTCCTACGTGTTCTCAGATGAGGTGCAGAAGGCAGTTCCCCCTTTGCCACTGCAAACTGTCAAGAGTTTCTTGGCAAAAATCAAATCCAGAAGCACACAGATAAACTGATTCAGCAAGATTCATTAACTTCTTAATATACAAGAATATATATACAATACCAACAGCAGAGAAGAGTTTCATTTCAGCAGAGTAAATCAGCAGACAACTGCTTGGTTTCAGTTTCTCTTTCTCTGCACAGACTCAGAACCTGCAAACTAAGACACACCCTGGCTCCAGTCTGTCTCAGCTCTCAATTGGCTGACTTAGTTGCTATGCCTATTCATTGGCTGACCTTGTTACCATGTCTTCCCAGTCATGAATATTCTGACATAAACTTTCTCTAGCTGAAGCCTCCTCCAAATCCCTTCCGGATGGCTGTTTAGAGCCATCCGTCAACTCAGCTCCTGATGTGCCAGGAATGGGCTCATCCTCCCCTGAGCTGACATCTGAGCAGGTATCGGAGGAGTTGTCCAAGGGAGACATCACAGATACAAATCAATCAATAACACCACTAGCACAGATTAATATAATTATCACATCCCTGCCCGCCCCACCCTGCTTCTCTGCTCTGCATTTGCCATATTTGGACTCCTCGGTATGTAAGATTTGCTGACTTCTCTTAAGAAAACCAAACCAGATGTCTTCATGCCTCTTTTGTGGCAGGTGCTGCATCCTGACTATAAGGGTATAAATACCATATCATTTTCTTCCTTCTTTTTTTTTTAAAGTCCTTCAAAACAACCCCCACTTTCTGATTTTCTTCGTTTCCCCACCTTTTCTGCAATCTCCCCAGGTCGGGACCAGTGCCATGGACAGCCCCTTGCTGAAATACAGTGCAAAGGAATACTTCTTCAAAGCAGCCCTCTGTCATTTCTGCATTGACATGCTCAACGCCAAGGTTTGGACAATGTCGTTTTGTTTCTAGAATTGTTGTAAAACTTTAAGGTATTCCTTACTGATTGAAGTAGCTGCCCATATCCAAGCATGAGCTGCAGCCACAGTGAGATACAGGAAAGTGGGATAAGTTAGGATACAGTGAAATGTGATGAAATAGACTACAGTGAAATAAAATAGACTAAAAGCAGGGGTGGGATTCAGCCGGTTTGGACCGGTTCGGGCGAACCGGATGTTAATTTTAATCTGGTTCGGCAAACCGGTTGTTTCAAGGACTGTTTGACCCCCTCCCCTCCCAGGAGTCTCCACGCAGTTTTGGATGCCAGGTAAGTGCAGGGCATGTGCGGAGGCCCTGGGAGGGTGAAAAATGGGCCTACTGGAAGTCCAGAAACAGGCCTGTTTCCGGCCTTTGGTGCCCAGCGGAGACCGTTTTCACCCTCCTGGAGGCTCCAGGAAAGCCTCTGGAGCCTGGGGAGGGCGAAAAATGGGCCTACCAGAAGTACTGGAAGTCCAGGAACGGGGCTATTCCTGGCCTCCAGGGAGTGTGCAAAGCGAACTGGTTGTTACAATCGGTGGATCCCACCACTGACTAAAAGGGTCTAGATAAAATGGAGTAAAGATAAAAGAGTAAGATAAAACAGCATAAGGTAAAATGGAATGCAAAGATATATAATTGTGGGAGAAGGAATGGCAGATGAGGGCAGGGTGAAAAGAGGGATCAGCTTAGAATCCCTAAGTAGCTACAAGCAAACTAAGTCCAATCCCGCCTTGAATTCCACTGACCCTTATCTAATTCCAAGCAGGTGAATTAGTTGAAAATATTCTTGTGTATGGGCATAAGTAGCAATACATCAGTTTAATTGAACTTTCATGTGTAGACCTGGTCTTTTGTGCCTGACAGCATAAAATGAATCTTAAAGTTCAAGAGCACTGAATGTTTAAGTGAATTCACCATTGCATGCAATCCCAATGCGTTCCATAAAATATCTTCTCTGTTGGACAGCCCTGACTATAAACTTACTGGTTCTAGGGGGCTACATAAATATTTGTGCCTTGAAAGAAATAAGATAATCGGTTATTAAAAGTCTCAGTAAATAGTTCTGTCAGGTAGTGTCCGTAAATACCGAGCCCATGCAGAAGTGTATAATTGTCAATTTCTGTAATTAAATTTTCTACGCTGCCCATCTAACCTAAGTGATTCTGGGTGATTTACAGCATCATGGTAAAGCCACATGTGAATAAATCATAGATTAAAAATTAAAAAACGGGTTAAAACTTTACAAATAAAAATTGAATGGGACATATGCAATGTTTTACATTTATGCTTCTTTGTAAAGCTTTGTATTGAAGCAGCTCTAGGCCAGGGATCTTCTGCATGAAAGAATCTGATTTCTTCAGAATGAGCAAGGGATTTAAGGGTGTGTATGGTTGAGAAAAAGATAGCTAAAACTTCATGACCATCATGACAAATAGGCACTTTATTTTTGCTTTAATAATCCCCCAAACGGAAGTTTATATTGAAGGTGTTGGAGAGAGGCTGGCCAATCCAGGGGAGGAGTCAAATGGGGAATTAGTCTGGAATCCCTATGTGGACACAAGAGATTCAAATCTGACCCTCCCCTTTAATGCCTTTGAACCTTATATAGCGTAGCTCATAGTTCAGCCAGTCTGAGAAGATTCTTATGTATAAGCTTGAGCAATATCTGAGTGAAGGCTTGAGACCTTGTAGTTAAAAGTAATCTGATTTATTACCTGTGCAGTATTTCAATGCAGGAAGAGAGGTGTTGCAGACTAAAAGGCTCATCTGCTGTTTGACCTTTTGTAAAACCTGAGGTCCTTTACTATTACTATACCTTTGGATTCACCCAGCCCCCTAACTGGGATTCCGTACTTTTCCTTCCTTTTAATCAGCTGGCTATACAGAAGTACGAAGAAATGTTCCCGGCTTTCACGGATTCCAGAGAATGCAAACTGGTGAAAGTGAGTAGTCCTTACACTTAGAAGACTTAGAATAACTTTATGGTCACTTCGAATGTACACTAATCATCATACATTAAACCTTGCCCTCTGTCAATTCTGCTTTATTTGGAAACTGATCTAACGATGCCTGTCCTGTCTTCTTTCCTAGAAATTGCTGGATGCTCACGAGGAACAGAATATTGACAGTTACACTGAATCAGTAAGTTTGGGTTATCCCCCTCCTTTCTGTTACTGTCCCGTTCAATTCTTCCCCCCCCCCCCCCGGCTTGGTGCCTCCTGGACATGTAGGATTTCAAAGATGTGATCATGGAGGATCAAATACAACATATCTAGCAAACATCAGGCTGGAAGGACAGTACAGTAGTGGCCAAAATTGTGGAAACCTTTTGGGAAAAGTGTATTTTCTAAAACTAGCTAATAATATCACTTTTGAGGGGAGCAGTACAGGGGTGAAATGCTCCCAATTCGGACTGGATCAGGCGATCCGGTAGCGATTGTGGCAAATGGTTCGGAAAACCGGTAGCGATGGCGGTGTGAGGCTCTGCCCACCTACCCAGGTGTTATTACTTCCTGCTTTTAAAAGGTTAAAAAAATGCTCTGACGATCGTGCGCGACAGCTGTGGTCGTCAGAGCCTTTTTTAAAAACCTTTTAAAAGCATTTTTTTATAACCTATTCGCCCGAATATGTTGTAAAAAAATGCTTTAAAAAAGTTTTTTTTTAAAAAAAGCATAGCTGGCTAGAGAATTCTGGGAGTTGACGTCCACAAGTCTTAAAGCTGCCAAGTTTGAAGACCTCTGATTTAGAATATTCCTGGCTACAGTTCTCTCTTTCCCTCCTCCCAGGTGAAGGAATACGACTCAATCTCTCGCCTGGACCAGTGGCTGACCACCATGCTTCTGCGCATCAAGAAAACCATACAGGGTGAAGAGGAAGATCTGCGTTAAAAAAGCCCCAAACCCCTCTTGCCCTCCATCCTCTGGCCTGTTATTTGCAGAACTCTGCCTGGATCAGCTCTGGGGGGAAAAGAAAAGAGAGAGGGTCTTGGCACGAAGGAATTAGACTCAAGTGGCAAATTCTTCATTTTCGCTTCCTTTCTCATCCCGCCTCTTTTGCGCTGCTGCAGTGAACAGGGCTGGGATGCGTCACCTGTGGACTGCTCCGGGAGAGATTTGAAGTTCTCCAAGCCTTGCTTCGCTTCCTGAGTCAGCATTTACATCCTCCTCCCCATGGCTTCGTTGATGGTTTAATATTTAAAGCATCTTTAGTAAGTTCGTTTTTTGTTGATGGTGCCATTCTCCTTTCCTTCTCCCCCAAAATCTTAACGGAAACTGATATGGAAAACGGCTGCTTCTTTACCGCGGAAAAGCACACCTTGTGATATTTGTGGCTTCATCTCATCCCCTCCCCTCCCCCCTTTTGACCACAGCAGTTCCAATTCCCTTTTCCAACAGGCATTGCAAGGCTAGGGAGCCCCTTTCTTGAATTTCGGTCAACCCTTCTCCTTTCAAAAATAGTATTTTAAAGATGGGCAGAATGGCACCGATCTCTAAATGAAGGAGCCGGGCTTGCTAAGCATCTCTCACCTGCCTTGTTTCAAATAATGCGGGAAACCCCAGACCCCTCCCCCCCCTCTTCACAAATGCTAAGTGTTGTTGAGCTGTATGGAATAATTCTGCTTCATTCCATGTTTCTCTCTTGCACCCTGAATTACCTTGAATTTATGTGTATTAACCCACTTTTATCCTTTCAGAGCTGAAGCGTCCAACCTTGGCAACTTTTAAGACTTGTGGACTTCAGTTCCCAGAATTTCCCAGCCAACCAGAAGTCTACAGGTCTTAAGAGTTGCCCAGATTGGACACCCGGGCTTTAGAGATTGGTACAGAAGTATGGCGTTGTATATCCATGTCAAGAGTGATATAGGATAGCCAGTCTCTTGGTTCCTCCTTGGGGCAAGAGGCAGATCAATCTTGAACTATGCAGCAGGTAGCCAAAAAAAACCCCACCCCTAATTTAAAACTTAGAAGCTCAGTGTGCCAGCTGTCTTGATCTCTCGCCTCGCATGGTTCTCCCTCCTGGCTTAGTTTGAAAAGAGCATTTCTCCAGCCAAGTTTTTCTGTATACATCGTCATGAAAGCTGCGGTATTTTTTTCCCCCTCTTGTCTTTGCTTTAAGAGAAAGAGCATTTATCATGTAATCTAGCACCTTCATGAAGGTTTCTCATATTTAATGTTTCCTTACTCTGTTGTTGGAAGGTGGACTTCAATTCTGTTCTTCAAATGCATGTTCTAAAATGTCTACCCGGAAAACAACTAATAGTGAAATAACTTGCACACAACAAACAATAAAAAGAAAAAACAACAAACCAACTTTGCATGTGGAAACATCGTTAGCGTCAAGTGTGATGATAGCCTCCATCCCCGCAATTTTAAAATTTCTGTTGCTTCTATCAAAGTCTTGCTTGTTTTCAGGCCCATCTCTCTTCCCTGCTGCCTTTCCTTCTGGATTCCACTTCTGATTCCTTTTCCCATCAGTTCTTCTGCGATCCAATTCCTGAACACTGGCTGTGATTCTACCTGTCTAAAAATACACCTGCATGCTTGAATTTGGCTGCCTCTGTGTGTATGTGTGTGTGTGTATTTGTGTGTCCGTGTACGATTTGGAAGAGAAATCCTGTTTTACAGGAGTGAGAGTTAGAGGTCCTCTTAAGTTATATAACAAATAAGCATATCCCCATATCAAAAAATAATAATAATCAAGATTACTTTAAATTACATAATTCTCTACGCAGGGCATTGAATTTTCACTTTCTTAACTGGAATCTTTTTTTCCCCCTCTGCTGGCACTGAAGTAACTTTTGCTAAACCTCAGTGCTGTTTGAGCAGTGTATCTACCTAGCCATTAAAACAACCTGGAAAATGGTGACAGTTGTCATGAATGAAAAGAGATGCAGTCCAGAGGAAAGCAGCTCGAGCATGGCTGAATTCGAGGTTTCCACAAGGATTGCAGCAAGTAGTAGTTGGTGTCCATTGAATAGGGACATTTTCCTGTAGCAATTACATTTACATCACATTAATATCCTCCAGAGCATGGCAGCACCTGAAGGAAGGCAGCTGATATTCTTTGCCAACGCACGGGCCCATAACTATAATTACACGTTATCTGTTAAGCAATTCAATACATTGCAAATCCTCAAAGATGCTATCTAAAATGAGAGTAGCTTTGCTTTACTAAAGTTATCCCTAATTCACAAGAAATGGACTAACGCCCCGATTCCACGACTTGCTGGAATGGTTTCTCCGAAGTCCACGTTTGACTTGGGACTCCAGAGCGTGCTCTATTGCAAATTTTATGTTGTCTTCTGAAGTCATAAAAGTTTCGCGATATCCCATATCGCTGCTTCTTGCGCTACACCTACTGTCACAGAACTAATGGCCAGGTGATGTGGAAGTAGTAAAACCAGCCTGACTAGAAGTGTCAGTAGGACGTGTTCACGGAAGCATAACCTGGATTAGCTTCCTCCTGGCGTGATTTAGACCAGTAGAGTTTTTGTAAACTGTTCTTGTCGTGTTTTAACAGTACAAACTAGAAATAAAGCATGAAGCTGGAATTTGTGACTCCCAACTAGATCTCGTGTTACCTTAAAAGCGAACACCTTAATTCTGTATGGCCTTTGGTAGAAACGCTGCCACAGCCAGTGAAACATTCTGAAGAGGCTGAAACACAAATGGTTGGGGGTGGGTGGGATTTAAACTAAAGTGGCAGGTGAAATAGAAAAATGTACAGATGGTACATTCTGTAATACAGGTGTAAATTCTCAACTTAAACAAACTCTTGTGACTATTTCAAGTTACGGCGGCACTGGAAAAAGAATCTTATGACCGTTTTTCACACATAACGACCGTTGCAGCATCCCTGTGGTCACGTGATCAAAATTCAGGCGCTCGACAACTGACTCGTTTATGACAGTCGCAGTGTCGGGGGTGTGTGTGTCATGTGATCACTTTTTGCAACCTTCTGACAAGCAAAGTCAATGGGAAGCCAAATTTGCTTAACAACCGTGTTACTAATTTAACAACTGCAAAGAAACAACTGCAGCAAGGAAAGTTGTAAAATGGGGCAAGCTCACTGAACAAATGTTTCACTTAACAACAGAAATTTGGGGCTCGATTGCGGTCGTAAGTTGAGGACTACCTGTAATTGGGTAAAAGCACGGGTAAAGTTATTACAGAAGAGATCAGGAATTTTGACTTATTAAAGGCATAATGACTAATGTGGGATTTAAATTGGGATAGGGTGAGGAGAAGATAGGTAGCGGGCATTAGTTATATTTCAAGCATGTTATCAATTTTAATGGGTTACAAATCCATTCTGTTTCTCGAGACCTTTTGAAATGGAAAAAAACCTTTCCAAGGACCCTGTTTCCCCCAAAATAAGACATGGCTTAGGCCCAGGATATTTGGCGGACCACCTGCAGCCAGCAACAACATCCCATCGCCCGGTTCGCGCCCATAGGGAGGGCCTGCTCAGGGTGCCGTCGGCGAGACAATGTTGGCTGGTGGCCCCCAGGGGTAGAGCCTTCTCTGTGGGCGCGCCCACCCTCTGGAATCAACTCTCCTTGGGGCTCCGGTTGGCCCCTGACCTTCGCACCTTTCACCGCGAATTAAAAACTTGGTTATTCGCGTCCGCAGCCTGGACTGATGGGGTTTTATACAGGTTTTTTAGCTTTATCTGATTTAATTAGGCATTTTAACTTTGTATAATGGATTATTGTGGTTTTTATTGTGAGCCGCCCTGAGTCCATTGGAGATAGGGTGGCATCTAAGCCTAATAAAATAAAATAAATAAATAAATAAATAAATCCCCTGATAATAAACCCAATCGGGCTTTTGAGTGCACGGCAATAAGGCCAAGCGCTTATTTCAGGGTTCAATATATATATATATATATAAGACAGGGTCTTATTTTCGGGGAAACACTGTACTTTAGTCCAAAAAAATCTCTCCGGATGCTGCTGCTGTCCTTTAGAAAAACCCCCGTTTTTCTAAAATGTCACTGAGGTCACCGTAGGCTCTCTTACAATATCTACAGTCCATCCATCAGAATAGAGGCGGAAAGGGATCTTGGAGGTCATCTAGTCCAACCCCCTGCTCAAAACAGAAAGACAAGCGGCTGTCCAGTCTCCTCTTTAAAAAAAAAAGCCTCCAGGGCTGAAGCAAAGTCGAAGAAGGAAACGGGGCAAATGTATTACATGCGGAAAGAACAAGGGCTGCCTACGTTTTTTTAAAAAAAATAATTTCAATTTTAGATTAGAATGAAAACAAAAGCCAAAAAACTGGGTCAAACATTCCAGCCTGGCTCTTGGATGACGTCACCGCCTGGCTTCCAACAGCGCAGAGTCCGACGCCGCGCCCTCCCGGTGATGTCACCCGCAACGCGACTGCAGCGCCGAAAGCCCCCTCCATCCACTCTGGCCGTCGCGTCCTAGGGTGGGGAAGAAGACATGGCGGACGGGGCTGTCCCCGGCGGTGCCTGAGTCGGGATGGAGCCTCCCCGCAGCTCCCCCTTCCTGGAAGACAGCTTCACCCGTTTTTCCTCCCAAAGCAACGTCTACGGGCTGGCGGCCTTGCCCGGAGCGGCTCGTGGGGGCGGGCGAGGACAAGAGGGGCCCGCAGGGGCGGAGGAAGCCGGGGGAGAGCTCTTATCCCAATGGGGACCAGACCTTTCAGCGGGGCTGGGGGGGCCAGGCCAGGCGGGGGCCCCTGGGGAAGGGCCGGGGGGGCTCCTGGTGGCCACCCTCAAAGGGAAAGTCATTTATTTCCGCTACCAAGACATGAAGCGGAACCTGCGGCCGGTGGCCAGGGAGGTGCAGTTCACCTACATCCCAGGTAAGGGTGGGGGGTGGGTGGAGGGCTGCCCATGTCTGGGGAGGGGGGCTTTAGGGGAGGGGGGCTGGGGGCTCCTGCCTGGCCTTCCCTGCTGCATTAACGGGTAGACTCAAGATCAGGTGAAGTGTTAATAATATGCCACTTTGTAATACTTTGGTAAGAAGACCCCACTTGGAATATTTGCATCAGGAGTGAAATCCAGCAGGTTCTGGAGAACCGGTAGTGGAAATTTTGAGCAGTTCAGAGAACCAGCAAATACCACCTCTGGCTGGCCCCAGAGCGGGGTGGGAATGGGGATTTTGCAATATCCTTTCCCCAGAAGTGGGGAGGGAATAGGGATTTTGCAATATCCATCCCCCAGGAGTGGGGAAGGAATGGGGATTTTGCAGTATCCTCAGTTAGCAATAGAAATTTTGGGCTCGAATGTGGTCTTAAATTGAGGGCTTCCTGTATATGAAGGAGATTCCAAGTTAGAAATAGTGCATTTGTAAAATATAACTGCTATCTGCAAGAGTAGATGGTGGTTTTTTTTCCCCTGTGATCTTTGGTAAGCTTGCATAACATAAGTAGCTCTTCTTTTTTTTTTCTGTCTCTCTTCCAGTTGATGCTGAGATTGTTTCTATTGACACTTTCAACAAACCATCTCCCAAAAGAGGCCTTGTCGTGGGCATCACCTTCATTAAGGTATGCAGGTCATTTCATTCATTGTTTTTCCTGCAATTCGTTACAGTGATGTGGCTACCTTTGCTGTGTTCATTTAAAGTATGCACAGAGGTGGGTTTCAGCAGGTTCTGACCAGTTCTGGAGAACCGGTAGCGGAAATTTTGAGTAGTTCGGAGAACCGGTAGTAACAATTCTTACTGGCCCCGCCCCCATCTATTCTCTGCCTCCCGAGTCCCAGCTGGAAATGGGGATTTTGCAGTAACCTCCCCCTGGAGTGGGGAAGGAATGGAGATTTTACAGTATCCTTCCCCTGCCATGCCCACCAAGCCATGCCACACCCACAGAACTGGTAGTAAAAAAAACTGAAACCCACCACTGGATATGCAGCATTCTTGCAGAAATGTTCTGGGCTACAAATCAAACATTTTCTTGGCTGTCCTTGGAACTCGATTTTTGCTCCGGTTTCCATCACAAAATTGTGCTACCGAGCGGCTGTACTCAGTAGGTACCTTCTAGATCCGTGATGACGAACCCATCACACGCATGCCCGAAGTGGCACGTGGAGCCATGTCACCTGGCATGTGTGGCATCGCACGTTCCTCTTCTAGGTTTCTGGCACGCATGTGCACACGACAATCAGCTAGCATTTGTGTGTGCGGCAGTGCCGGAAACCGGAAGAGGTGTTCTTCCGTTTTCCGGCATGAATGATTAAATGATTACACTGACATTAACAGTGGAAAGACAAGAAAGAGGGAAAAGAGATGGAAAATAATAAGAAATAAAGGATAAAATACAAAAAAATATGATTTTAAAATACAAAATAAGCATACTAGGATTAACAATTAAAGACACAAAAAAGGAAGGAGAAAGGAGAAACAATGGGAAATAAAAGGCCAAATAGGAGAGTGCAGAATTTTAAAATACAAAAGAAAGGAAGAAAAAGGGAAAACAAAAGGCAAAGAAGGATGCCTAACAACACAGACCTCTAAGGTCTCTGGTGCATCTGAGCAATTCATGGCTTTATTCTTAACATCACAGAAACTATCATTTAAAACAGCAGAGGGCACCTCTGAAAACTTTGGAACGATGGAAGGCCCCCAGTGCTTGATCCGATTTCTGTGACTCGAGCTGAATTTGCTCGCATCGATGCAAGAACAAAATAGCCTTTTAACTTTTTGGCCAAGTGTAGGTTGACTGCTAATGGAACAGAATTATTGCAGGCCATGCAATGGCCAGAGGTGACTTCAAAGGGTTCTTTCAATCCACGGATTTATCTGGATTATTCATTTGCATAAATAGCAATAGATTTACCCTGTTTCCCCCAAAATAAGACATCCCCTGATAATAAGCCCAATCGGGCTTTTGAGCGCATGGCAATAAGGCCAAGCGCTTATTTCAGGGTTCAAAAAAATGTAAGACAGGGTCTTATTTTCGGGGAAACACGGTATATACCGCTTCACACTGCTTTACAGCCCTCTCTAAGCAGTTTACAGAGTCAGCATATTGCCCCCAACAATCTGGGTCCTCATTTTACCGACCTCAGAAGGACGGAAGGCTGAGTCAGCCTTGAGCCGGTCAGGATTGAATTGCTAGCAGTGGGCAGAGTTTGCCTGCAATATTGCATTCTAACCACTGTGCACCATCGAAGGAAGGAAGGAAGGAAGGAGAGAGAGAGAAAAGGAAGAGCAATAGCACTTAGACTTATATACCACTTCACAGCCCTCTCTAAGCTGTTTACAGAGTCAGTATATTGCTCCCTAGAAATCTGGGTCTTCATTGACCCACTTTGGAAGGATGGAAGGTTGAGTCAGTCTTGAACCTGGTGAGATTCGAACTGCCAAATTGCAGCCAGCCAGCAGGCAGCAGAAGTAGCCTGCAGTACTGCACTCTAACCACTGCGCCACCGCGGCTCACCCCTCAAATCAATCATGGGATTGTCCCCATCCATATGGACTAAGGCTGCTTTAATAAGATAAAATCTAGAGGACACTCTAGGCACTCTGAGATCTATGCTTTTCTATGTTTCATGCGCTGGATTCTTTTGGGGGTGGGGGGGAGTATTTCCTGTCCCTC